AAACTATCGTTTTTGACGTTTGGATAAAAGTAGGTATTGAATTTGACTAATTGTAAAACTACCGTATTATCGCGATAGTGGAAGTTAATCGTAGGTGTAATTTGATCACTAAAAAAATGATTTAAGGTATATTTTTCATTGTTTAATATCATCAATTATTGCGACAATTATTGGCATTTCCCGTAATTGTTGCCCAAGCTTTACAACTTAATACCTAATCTTCAAATTCTTAATTACCCTCAAAAGGCCAACAACGCACTTGTAACTTCTCTGGCACGAGACCCTGGTTGCTTACCATCAGGTCCTTCTACTCGTGTTATTCATTTACTCGTTTAACAAGAAAATAATCAAAATCTTAATCGAAAATCCAGATAAACGACATAAATATTTAGGCAATTCAATTTTGGTTTTGTAACAAGGCGTAGGTGCCACCTACTAGGTGGTACTGGTAGATAGCGTAGGTGGCGTAGTAGTGAGATAGGTGATTACATCTTTGCAGTCATTTTATATGAAATTTTATATGGAATGTCCATTCATTCCATAAAACGCTTAAACATTTTTGCATTTGTGAAGTGTTCACAACCTACCAATTGTATTATCTAAGTGCTACGTGATAAACGCGCTAAACCTACCTACAATAAATTACTAAGTAAAAAACAAAAAGAAGGCGAGATACTGTACACTGAAAAAGTGCAAAGCTACAAAAGTGTGCCGAAATTATAAATTTAATACAATTTTAGGTAGGTATATAAAATATTTATATTATTATATTTATGTTCATAATTAAAGGTACCTAAGGACAAGAAAATGGTGTGAAAATTACGTAAAACAAAAACACTTAAGTAGGTACTTATCCACCTACTAAATTGTAAATAAAACCCACACAACAACAACTTTCATTCATTTAATAATTATTTCAAGAATTTCTAAATAAAACCTTCAATGTGACCACAACCGCAAAGCGATCGCAATTATTACGTACCTACCAAGTATTATGACAAAGAGAAACATGAGTACCTATTAATATATAAAATACACGATTTTTGTATGTAGGTATACTCGGAATTTTAATTCCATTCCAGATTTGACAATTTTAGTGTTGCAACGTTATGACACCTACTAAATAGTGACGTTGCGAAATTATTCGATATGGAAATCGAATATTTCTGAATCGATTCCTCTCGTAAACTAAGTTTATCAGGAAATAAAATATTCCTGAACCGAAAATTTTGTTTTGAAAATTAATTAACGATCTGAAACTTTTCTTTTGTAATTGTGTGTGAGATTAATAAAAAATGTGATCATGAAGGAAGATGACAAATAAAACAGACATTTTATAAATTGTCGCCGTCATCTCTATCGCTATCGTTGTTACTTTCTGTAAAGTTTATTACGAATTGTGTCTGTGATATTTATTGTCAATTAACATATCTAGCTTACTCATTTTTTCTGACTAATCTTCTCCTATAAATATCTAATCAATATACTTATTGGTATTATTATCTTAATTGAAAATTCTCGCTCGTTATTATCTGTGGTTTACCTACCTGAATTGTAAACGAATCTATGCCTTGAAAATAAAACCTTTTTTATGACATAAGAAAAGTCTTACCTACTTTTTGGAGAATAGGTAAGACTGGCCATACGTAGTGCGGGATTCTTTTTATCATCACCATGCCTCTATAGCAGCCAGAAGATGTACACTGATGAGCATGATAAGCAGATATACAATGATAGATCGGCTAGATAGTTTTTTCTATGTGATAAGTCGGCAAACGAGCAAACTTATTACCTGATGGTAAGCAATCAGCGTCGCCCATGGACACCCGCAACGACGGAGGAGTTACGAGTGCGTTGCCGGCCTTTTGGGGATTAGGGATTTGGAGATTTTGGGAAAGGGAACGGATTGGGGTAGGGGAAGTATTGGGCGTCCGGTAACCTCGCTCACACGGCGAAACACAACTTTTTGGTTATTTCACGCCGGTTTTCTGTGAGGCCGTGGTATCACTCCGGTCGAGCCGATCCATTCGTTGCGAAGCATGGGTCTCCCACACTTGTTTATTGATATTAACTACTAAGAAAAAACAATTGTCTATCAGGTCTAAAGATCGGTTGGTACTAGTTACTCCGTTGCTCGCGGGTTACAGATATTCATGGAAAACTTAATGATAACTATTCCGATGTCAGTTCATTTACCGCCACCGCCTAAAAAACGTCGCGGGACGAAACTTGTAGGTACCAATCTATACTTCCAAACTAACATTGTAAATGCGAAAGTAACTTTGTCTGTCTGTCTTTTCTTCACGCCTAAACTACTGAATCGATATCTGTGAAATTTGGTTCAAACATACAGTTTGGAACTCGAGAAAGGACATAGGATAGTTTTATGTCAAAAATCTGCAGAAAGTCACTTTTCCACGCGAACGAAGTCGCGGGCAAAATCTAGTAATATTATAAAGCTTTAAACTTTGTTAGTTTCTTTTTTTGAACGCTCTAATCCCCGAAAATTCTTTGTTGTGGTCGTTAGTCCATCTATCGAGGAAGGCTATAAAACATCACGCTAAGATAATGTAGGAAACCGAGTGGCAGGTGAAACCGTGCGAGAGAAGCTAGTTAATAATAATAAATACGTTGTTAAATTATTGTGGTTACAATACATAATATTTATTGTGGTTATTTTAAGAACTGTTATTCCGTCGGTTACTTACTAGAATTTTTTGTCCAGGTGATACTTACGTGATGAATCAGAGCAGGCCTTCCCGTAATGTGCCTAAAAGTCGCTTTCCCACCCCATCATCATCATCTTCCTGCCCTTGTCCCGTTTTATTTGGGGTCGGCGCAATATGTTTTTTTCTTCCATATCACTTCTTACACAATCCATCCATATTTTCTTTGGTCATTCGCTTTCTCTCCCCATGTACGCTTAAATCTTAAAAACTACGCCACGGATATTAATGCGGTTTTACAGCAGGTTTTTACCCAGGTCGGTTCGCTATACATATGTAGTAGGTATAAAACAAAGTCATACGTGTGGGAGAGCCAAGTTTCGGCATGAATGGGTCGGCTCGACCGAAGTGATACCACGACCACACAGAAAACCGGCGTGAAATAACCACGGCGCTGTGTTTGAGTGAGGTCACCAAAAACCTAAATACTAGTCCTCCCTCCATCCCTTCTCATTTCTCAAATATCCGAAAACCCTCATTCCCAAAAGGCGGGCAACGCACTCTTGTCACCTTTGGTGTTTCGAGTATCCATGGCCGGCGCCGATTGCTTACCATCAGGTAACCGTCTGCTCCTTTACCGACTTATCCGATAAAAAAAGCATGTGTGAACCTAGCAAATCATTGTAAAGCAGATAAAAAAAAATAAAAGAGAGTTCTTTTCGCATGCAGCTGAGTTCTACAGTTCCTGATAGTTTTTAGCAATAGTTCTAACGTTTTTACCTTGATAAAAGCAGATTGGCGAAATGATCTGCTAACTTCCCGTAGCAGAATTACTAGAGAACTCTCTTTTATTTTTGATCTGCTGTACAACGATTTGCTAGGTTCTCACATTCTACAAAAAGTCGCTTCCCGGAAACGGAAACCTTCTGCATTTTTTATTAAAGGCTGTCTCCCGTAAATCAGTAGGCAAATACCTAAAACTAGACATGATTCACAATTCACAAACTTTACCTCTTTAAAGGTAGATTTCTAAATGAAATAAATTATTAACTCCAGCGTTGTAATTTATATAAGCTTAGTTAGTTAGCAAAATGTTTTGTTCAGGAATTAATTCCTGCAGCAGTTACATATTACGTGATTTGGTTAGTGGGTTACCTAACCGTATCCCATTAAATTAATTAATTCTACGAAACAAAACTAATTACAAATTAGAACTAAGTATCGCGTTGTTTAACGTTTATTTAGATTATTTATTATTTATCACAAACATTTTCAGTATTTATTTGTTATATTTGGTACCTTTATTACGGTAGTTTCCAACTAGGTAGTCAAATTCAATACTTTTTTTAAACGTCAAAACCATCACCATCCTACGTTGTATGAAATACAAAGACGTGACGTCATACATTTTTAATTTCCAAAAAAAAGAACTAGGTTATCCATCAAATTAATGACTGGACTTAAGACTTTTAAGTATTTTATGATTTTGAAAAGTTGGAAATCATTTACATAAAATATTTAACGGAAGAAACTATAAAATTCGTCTACTCACGATTACATTATTATTTTTTATTAAATTAGCCTTAAGTATATACCTATAAAATTTTAAATTAGTTTTAGGAATTGTTTAGGGAAAAATATTGTGCCTACATTATATAATTACATTTGTACTGATCCATTAGAGTTTGTTTACGTAAATATTTTTGTTTCTGCTTCTATTTCCAGGAATTCACTGGTGTTTTTAAATACTTTAATTAATCAGTTATGTTATATTGTACATAACTAAAACAAATAGGATCGTGCGAGTCTCCTAATTAAAAATGTTAGGTATGATAAGTCAGTGAATGCTAGATTTGCATAATAACCCATGTTTTTTTTTAATTTTATTTCGTTTTAAGTCGATTACGTATCACATTTTTGAATAGTTTACAAAAGAAAAATTAAGCATTTTAAAAAGCAACATCCCACCTGTAACGTATGAGGTCCAAGCCTCAAAATCAATGAATGTAAAAGAATGAATGTAGTAGAAAGAATGAATAAGTTTGGCTAGTCAGGTGTGGTGTATGTACTTTGCTAGAGGGGAGGGATAGTTCCCTCACGCACTGCGACTCCTTTGTAAACATCACAACTTCGCAGAGAGAGGAGACGGCTTCCCAGTTCCTCTCGCTCCGAACCATGGCCTCGACCTAAGGCCGGGCGCGAGAGGTCTGCTCAGCCTGAGCATTATAAATTATAATTTCTGGATTTAAATAACCTTGCTGGACAAGCATACAACGCATAAAATAAAACTACCACTCCTTATTAAAATATGTAATGATTCCTTAATTATAATTATTTGTACTTATTCATCAAATCAAATAACATCATCATCATACATGTGTGTACTAAGAAATTCTTCTGCGCTTCTTTCTAGAAGCTTCTTTATCACTTCCTTCCTCTTCTGCGTCGCTGGCTCCTTCTATGATGTCAGTCTCAGCATCGTTAATATCCACCTCATCTGAGAAGAAAATATTTTACTGTTATCGTAATCAAACACACTACATTGTTTATTTCTTAAAGAGCCAATAGACCATCACAGACGGGGCCTTATAGGACTGATGTTCAGCCGGGGTTGCGGGGTAAGCGTAATGAGGCACCGCGACCTCGGCCCAGGGCAGGAGAAGGAACAGGGGGGTTTTTATTCAGTAAGAGTCTGACACCCTGTAATTTTTCCTTTAATCATTAAGTCTCTGAGCGAGAAGTCATTTGATGATTTCCCCATTACAAAAAAGAACATTGTTTATTTGTCACAAGTTTTTACACACTTGTGTAAAAATAACTCGCAACATATTTTGTCAAAAAAAGACTATTTATTTATAATTCTCACAGGGGCGGGCCACAAATAAATAACCAAATTGATATAAAAAATAAATACATACAAACACAAATTGATGTAAATAAAATAAATTCTATTACATAATTCAAAACGTATTTACTTAAAATTGCATTGTATTACTATGTATATGGAGATAGCTTTAATGGATACGTCAATTTCCAAAATTATCACGTACGTATAAGGAAATCTCATAAAATACAGACACATTCTCGTGGATGTACGAAATCTCATTTGCTTTTCTATGAACTAATATAGCTCCTCTTTCGAACACAGTACACAGTAAACGAAATAAACAGAATCCTGTCGATTCTTGGAATTTGTCGATATTGAATCGGCAACCTGATCATGATATCACAAAGATTCTATGATTATTCTAGGAAATTGCACTTATGATATTATTAGTAGTAACTTAGTAGGTTGGCAGTATGTTTACTTATAACGTTAAGTAGTTAACAAGGATGCGACGTGCCAAGGTGATCCCGGACATTGACTTGCGACCGATACTGTGTACTCTAATAAATTGTTCAAACAATCATTTCTAATGTATACCGGTTTTATGTACCAGTATTATAATAAAATAAAAGTGAAGTTTGTTTGTCTGATTTTGAAATTAGAATCACACAATATGAAAAAAATTGAATTACGATTGACTAAACATACACAAATTTGTTTCACCACATACGCTAATGAAGTCGTAGTGACCCGAAAGTTAAGATTTTCGAAATCACCAATGCTAAGGCACAAGCATGGTGATTAATGCTGAAATCTTCTCCGTGTGAGAAGAGGCCTTTGCTCAGCAGTGGGCACTTATAGGCTGTTGATGTGATGTAATGTGTTCACTAATTAAGAAGGCTATTGAAGGGCTGTACTCCATTTTCGAAATTTTCTTTATATGTCAATATAGTAATGAACTTAGAACTCTAAATAATTATAAATGTATAGGTACTGGGATGTAATATTGTAATACGACTATAATAAATTCACCAAACACCAAGCGAACGCCGGCGTCCACACACCTATTCTTCTTCTATTATGTCTTGTATTACCACGAATAAAAGGTTAAGAACCCTCAAACTGAAATGTCAGTGAACCTAACTACATATAAGAGTAATTTACAACAAAGTAAATAATGTAAGGAGGACCTAAATGACATAGAGATGACATTGTATGTATGTATTTCTCGTAATTGTACAAATCCGAGTTATCTTCCGAGAATGTGAGCTCCCGCCAACCGCATCTTCATTAGCGTTCGAATGCAAATAACCGCACGAATTCTTGAAACTAATTCGATTTAAAAGTATTTTTTTTAGCTGTTAACTTGTGAAGCATTCTGCAAATATTGAATTAAAATATACTATTCATTGACTTTGACCCACAATTTTTTTGAGATTGTGTAAACGTCACATTTTTTTATTGCAAAATATATGCAATTTTAGTTAGATATTTATGTTACTATTCATTAATAAAATTGAATAATTATATGTGAATCCGACTACTATGTAGCGACCAAAATATTCGATTAGTGAGTAATGCATAAAATGGAATTTTCAGTAATAAATTTTTAGTAAATAATAAATAGATATAACATACCATAAAAATAAATAATAATTAGTTAATAATTCTTTAAGGAAAAGTTCATACATAATTTGTCAAGTCAAAATCAAAAATTATTTATTTCAATTAGTAATTAGTGAAATTTTTGTTTGACGTTCAAATGTGCCTGAAACCCTTTTAGGCACTTTTGAAGACAGTGTCAGTCTGTCGGTCAGTCCTATTCGTGAAGCTATTTGCTCGCTCCAAAGTGTAGATTCCGATGGAGAAGAACGAGCAAGAAACTCCATGTTTGAGAAATGTAAATTAAAAATTTAAAAAAATATATGCTGGACTTTTAATGGATAGCGTTTTATACGGGACGTGAGTACGGACGTATGTCATGTAACATGCATACATCTAACAATTTGAATGCCACAGAAGGCTATAAACGACAAAAAAAAAGTATACAAAAAACAATTCTTGTGGTTGCAGACTGTTCCAGTTATTAATAGTGTACTATAGGCGTAAATGGCGCTAAAATGTTTCACTAAACAAGCGAGCCGCCCCTGCTTTTTACAGGTACCTCGCTAAAGATGTAAACATCGCTATTTTTCAATATTCCCTTCTACTTTCCTGGATTTTTTTCCATAAAAACCTACTGAGAATAAATTAGTAAAATAAGTCCAGATGTTGTTGACTTATTCGCTTACCAACACATAGCCGATTCCTTTGTATATAACTTACAAATATTCACCTTCGTTTATAGATTCATCGGGTTGTTCCTGCGCGTTGAGTGCCTCTTGTAACACGGGCCCCTTGATTCTGAAGTCGCGGGCAGTACCCAGAGATAAGTACTGTTGCCAATTTAACTGTAACAACAAGTTTTTATATATTTATTTTTGTCGAATACTGGCAGTCAAGCAATCAGGACGGCTAATAGACACCCACAACACTTGAGACGTAACAAGTTTCCACTCACAAAGGGGGTGATATTGCTTATTTCTTAATTATAAATTATAATGTGAAATAAAAACAGCATAATTTGCATATGATATATAAAATAAGACTGGATATTTTTTTATTTATAATTTACTAGCGATTCGCCCCGCCTTCACCCGGGTGCAATGCTCATACCTAATTTCTCCACTATTTAATGGACATATAAAACTTCTGGTTTGGAACCGGTGGTTTTTTTAACAGATAAGAGTGATTGAAGTCAATTCATTGCATCAAAATCCGTTGCGTAGTTTTAAATATTTAAGTATACATTAAAAAACAACTTTTTTATTATACTATGTAGTCACTAGATAATTTTCAAATCTATTGGGGTCCAAACGAGCCTCCATAAGTAAGCAGTCGGTGTTGCAAATAGCAACTGACATTACCAGAGTAGTTATAAGTGCGTGGCCAGTCTTTTGAAGAATTTTAACATAAGCATTGAGGCTGGAATACTGCAAAATGTAAAGAGAAGTAAATCAGCAAAAAAAAATATTTTCTGGTTACCTTAGCCTTATTAGAGAGCAATATAAGCTGTTTACTGAACAGCTCAGCTTCAAGCACAAGTCTCGGTATGAGTTTAGTCTCCCGTAGCAGCTTGGTGGCAGTCTCCTTGTTCTGTGACGCTTCTAAGTACGTAATGAGATTGTCTGTCACTGAAGACAACTTCTTGCCGCACAGCTTTAGGAGGCGCTCGAAACTAAGGAACAAGTATAGTTGATTAAAAAAAGAAAATACAGAAAAGATAAAATGGGATGGTTTAGAAAAAATGAGTAAACAAAACCGATGGCGTCCTAATAAAGCTAATCTGGAAATCACTGGAAGAGTGATTAGCGGTGATTGTTTTGTGCTTGATATGATAATGTTGTTAGTGACGAAATAAGACAAAATGATGTACTTATTCTTCTGCAACTTCTAATTCGAAAATTTTCCTATCGACGATTGCATCACTGCTTACCATCAGGTGGGATCGCAGTCAAGCACTAGTTTATAGCAAGTAAAAAAAAATCGGTACAAAATATCATCTCTTTACAAACATAGCGCCATCTTTGAAGTAGGCGAATAACAAAGTTTTAACAATAATATGAAGATGTCGCTATACTTCATTTGTAGTCACCGGAACAAAAAAAAATTGATTCCTTTTTATTTACACCTGAGAGGGCAAATTCATATTTTTGAGAAACATAGGCTACTTAAATATTGTCTATATCAGGATCTTAGTAAATAGCGCCCTTTATATTTCTACCCCTCGTCACAAGTTCACGAGATAGTCAGTGATTTAGTCAGTAAGAATCTCTCGGCTCCCGTACACGAGACAACTCATTTCGTCCTGCATATTCGCCCCGCAACAGCACAACCAAATGGTGAACGCTTGATTATTGTGCTTACCGTACAGTCTGCGCCATGCCGGGGTCGATCTGCTTGACGAGCGCGGCCAGCAGACAGTAGAGGCGCACGGCGGCGGCCAGCACGCGGTCGCTGGCGGCGCCCACGCTGCAGCGCAGCTTGCAGCAGCCCGACGTCCAGCCCGACACCTGGCACAGCTGCACCACCACCGACTTGTAAATCTCCGTCAGATCTGTAACGTTATTGGGATTCGACGCCAAATTAACACACGTCAACAGAACAGTTTAAAAAACGTTGCTCTAACGATAGAATTCTCCAGTGTAGTGTACTGTCAAGTACAACCAAATGCCTATTTTTTAAGTTCTTATGCAGCTGTTACGGAACTTGAATAGGGAAATGCACAGAGTATTGTTTTTCCTACTTTTAGTCTTAGTCTTAGTTTTATACTAATATACCCCTTTATAGCTCGACTAAAATACTCAGGGATATTGTCAACATTATCAGAAAAAGATTTTTGAAATGCAACTAACGGTTTCGAAGTTTACACCCTATATAAACTATACTATAGAAACATAATTTTTTTATCTCTTTGTAATATTAGTATAAGTAAGGTATATTTTATAGTTTTTATATATAATGATTTAATAGGTAGACTGTTAATTCATATTTGAAATAAAGGCATACCTTTCTCGATCCTCTGTTCGACACTATGCGCAGCTAAACCGGCTGCGACGGTGAGGTCCCTGGCGCGGGCCAGCAGATGTTCGAGTCCCCTGGCGCGCGTGGCCAGGTGTGTGCATATAGTGACGAGTACTGCGTGCCCGGTGCGCGAGTCTATCGCGTGGAACTTGTCTGATTCCTCCCCTGCTGACGTGTCTTCTTCCTGTGAACGTAGAACAGAGTTGAAATTGTGTTAAATGTTGTTATTTTTTATGGGATAGGTCGGCAAGTGAGCCTTCTGATTACCTGATGGTAAGCAATCAGCGCCGCCCATGGACACCCGCAACACCGAAGGAGTTACGAAGCGCCTTAGAAGGGAAAAGGGTCTCGGATATTTAAGGATTGGGAAGGGATAGGGAGAGAGGGGCAGGTTGTTTCACGCCGTTTTTTTGTGAGGCCGTGGCCGGTCGAGCATACCTATTCGGGCATGGCTCTCCCACACCACACAATTAATTTAATAGCGCAGCATGAGTACTCAGTAATATGCTAGCACTTTTAAAAAAAGTGGGTTTGGAATCACATAGAAAGGATTAGCAAACTAAAGTGGCAGTGGGCAGGTCACATTAGTTGAAGCACCTATGACCGTTGGAGCAGACGTGTTCTAGAGTGGAGACAACGTCTAGGCAAACGTAGTATAGGACGACCTCCAGCTAGGTGGACCGACGATATCCACAGGGTGACTGTCAGTGGTTGGATGAGAAGAGCTGTACATCGAGCTCAGTGGCGTGCAATTGGGGAGGCATATGTCCAGCAGTTGACGAAATCAGGCTGATGATGATGAAGTGGATTTTGCCACAAGAGGGAGTGTCAGACTCTACTGAATAAAAACCACAGCGCTCCTGCTTCTGCTGGCAGGATTGCGTTTATATCCATAACCCCGAAAGACAGATAGATGGTGCTTTTTATTTTACACCACTTTTACAATTTCAGCTATCAAATCTCGCGCGGTTCCACCGGCTGCTTGATGTTTTATAGCCTTCCTAGATTAATGGATTTACAAACATAACAAGAATGGTTTTATATTTGAATGAATATTAGTGTTACACTGTTCTCACATAATTGAACCAACTGTTTGTAAAAGGAATCCGTATGTGAAACTGATTTAAAAAGAGTATCCATGGAATTTCTTGCTCGCTTTCTCCATCGGAATCTACACTTTGGAACGAGCAAATAGCTTCACTAAGAGGACTGACCGACAGACTAACACTATACCTTCAAAATTTTGTTTGACGTTCAAAAGTGCATGTAAGTGTCTAATTGGAATAAATGATTTTTTACTTTTGGTTCAATCCGAACCAGTAGATGCGGAGATTAGGGCGTCCAAACAAACAAACAAAACAAAAAATACACATTTTATCTTATTTTGTGGAAGTAAATATTAATCCATTTGTTATTAAAATCCTTACATCAATCCTTCCGAGTACATTGGCAAGTTTGACCAGCAACTCGTCAAGTAGCGCGGCCTCCTGCAGCTCACTGTACCCGGCCGTCAGCACGGGGCCGATGAGGGCCAGGCAGTCCTGCGTGCTCGTACGGAGGTAGTCTTCTAACTTCACTAAAACCTGGATGAAAAAGCAGCTAAATTATAAACACATAGAAAATAATCGTATTATTTTTATGGTCTGTCAAAAGGGGGGAGGAGGAATCCTTTAGTAGCCTCGCTTAGCTGTTTTTTTTTTATTGTTTGTTAAGTCGGCAAACAAGCAGTCGGTTTACCTGATGCTAAGCAATCGGCGCCACCCATGGACACTCGAACAAAGGAGTTACTTCAAATGCTTTGCCGATTTTTAGTGGATTATTGGGGATTTAGGTATTCAGCATGAGAGAGGGAAGGATTGGGCCTCTGGTAGCTTTACTCACACAGAGAAACACAATGCAAGTGTTGTTTTACGACGCCGTGATATCACTCCGGTCGAGTCGGCCCAAAACATCAATATCAAACCATTCGTATCAAAACGTGGTGCTTACAAATTAAAATTTCGACTAACTAAATTAGACCGTTTAATTACAGAGACGATCGAAAACTCAACATTATAAATTGACTTCAGAAAAAACAATATTTTGCCAGTTTTTTTGTGGAATAGTAGGTAAACGAGCAGACGTATCCTGATGTCAAGTGATCAGCGCCACCCATAGATACCCACAACACCAGAGGCGTTACAGGCTCGTTGCCGGCCTTTTAAAAAGGAGTAAGCACGTTTCTAGAACGTTTGAAGGTCATATCGGTTCGGAAATACCGCCGCCGAAAAGTCATGGCAAAGTTTTTTGTAGGTAATGTAAAAAGGCTATAAATTAAACATTCTAAAAGATATCATACCCTAGTCTTCAGCGGGCAGGAAGGAGTAGGTGTCTCCAATAACAAGGTAGCTATTTGTATGAGCACTCCCAGCTGTTTCTTCACGACAAGATCCCTTTCATCCGGTACACTGTCCATCTCAATGTGTTGGAGTGCCGTGTGGATGTTTTCTAGAATACTCGCCAAGCATTCTGAGCTAGACTCGTTGGAACCCGCTGAAACAAAAATATAATAAAACTATTAAGAGCTGTTTTTTTTTACCAACAGATATTTTTTAATCGTTGAATAAAATTTTAAAGGTTTCCATCTAGTTTAGTATTCATTACTTTTTCCGAAATATCAAACACTAATCTATACTGATATTACGAAGAGGTATTGTAAGTTTGTATGTAGGGGGTAATCTTTGGAACCGCTGGTCGGATTGCCAAAATTCTTTCACTGATAGATAGCTACAATGTTCCCCAGTGCTATAGGCTATAAAACATCACGCTACGATCAAATGAAAGTGCAGTGCAATGCGCGCTACAGAACAGTCGCGTTTTCGCTGCACGGTACGAATATTATATTCGCGTTTTTGCGCGGCATTAGCCGCTGCTCGTTTTAGTCACGATGAGTTCTAAACCGCTCATCGCCAACGAAGTTTTGGCATTCATTAATCATGCCATCGATTATATGGATGAGGTCAGCATCGTGCAGATCTGCAGATCAGCCTACAAAGAGGACGAGGTTTGCAGTGCAAAGCTGCTACTCTTCAAGTCGCTCGGACAACTCGAGCAGATGCCATCCCGCCGAAGGGACGGTGGGGACAAGAGCCTGCAGGATATCATCTCCCTGCTGAAGAGGACAGATCCTGATGACGTGCCTGAGTTCGTGGCGAAAGACTTGCATAAGCTGCCTCCCGTCACGTTCGATCACGTCGATGTCACCAGGCTGTTGAAAGACATAACGTGTCTTAAGGCGAGCCTGGAAGATATGAAGTCCAAGATGGAAGCTTCACAGGTAACCATCAGTGACCTGCGTGGTGAAGTAGCGTTGTTGCGCAACGCTGTTTCTATAAGTAGGTCATTTGATGTAATCAATGTGAATACTCGTCGCGGGGCGCAAAACGCGTCTGTCATCAGTTTCGAGTCGGCGAATTCGAGTGCGTCACCGGTCGCCGATGTAGCTGACGATGCGCCCCGCCCCGCCGCCGCCACCGCTGCTGTGTCAACACCTGCGGCCGAACCTTGCGTAGGAACATCGACCCCACAAACGCGCCTACGCAGCAGTTGCAGCCACCAACAAGCCCGCTGTGACGCAAACAAAGCGGGCCAAAGCAAAAGGGGGTAAACAAACCCGTGGCACATCACAGCCACAGACTAGTCCTAAGAAGGACACGTGCGACAAGGATGGCTTCATAAAGGTAGAAAGGAGAAAAAAGAGGCCAACTTGTAGGAATAAGTGCGGAACTGCACAAACTGGACCAAACATCCTGCTGCGTCCTGCAGTACCAACGACGCAGTTGTACGTGTCCCGTCTACATCACACCACGACAGTGGAGCATATCGTGGAGTATGTCCGATCCAAGACCAACTGGACCTTGAGGGTGGCGAAGTTGGAGTCGCGCCACAAGACGAACTTTAATTCGTTCATGGTGCGAGTTCCAACTCATCACGTCGAGACATTCTTCAAGGAAGAGTTTTGGCCGAAGGGTGTCGTATATCGGAGGTTCCGAGGATGGCTACGCGACACCACGCAGCGTAACACGACGCCGACACTTCGTGTGCATTAGTTTTTAAGTTTTTTATGTAACATATGTATTAGTTTATGGTGTAATGTTATAATATATTTATGTATTGTATTTTCTATGGGCCTCAGATGCCTGACTTAAATAAATAAAAAAATAAAAAATAAATAAAAAATGGAGCCGAGCAGCGGGTGAAACCGCGTGAGAGTAGCCACTATTTTCTAAAATTAATGAATGAAGGTGCGTTTATATTTCGGTGTAAGCCTTTTCGATTGAGAAAACAATTACCAACTAAATAAACCACTATTGAAATAAATTATCTTCCTAGGGTAGTCCTTTACTCCGAAAGCTTAGGGTTATGAGAATAAAGAAAACAGAAATCAAACAATGACGAATCCAAGTCACTCAGGAGTGAAATATTGGATTGTTTTGAAGAATGACAGTTACTATATGCAGTCTGCGTTCCCCGAAGGGTCGTCAAGGCCTGATTGAATAGGTTGCTTATGAATAGGCGTACTCCATGGAGCTCGGATCATCACATACCACCAGGCGAGGTAGTGGCTAAACGCTTTTAATCATGCTTTTAATTTCCTCATGGGTTAGTTAGGGATCTTGTAGACGGTACTCACTTATATTAGACAAGAAACAGTCCATCTTGAGCGAATAAAGAGGCGAGAACAACAGTGTGAGACATGTCTTAAACACTTCTAGACATGTTACCGTGACCTGGTCGTCGAAACCGCACATGTGTTGGAATCTGTAATGTAAATTTGCAATTAAAATTGTAACTATATTGTATATTGCATTGTCCATGATAATATAGACTTCTAGAGTGTATAATTATTCTAATTTTATTTTTATTTTATTTTACAAGGCATTAACAACAGGTAACAATTGACTTGATACAATGTTTTATACAGTACTAGCGGCCCGCCCCCGCTTCGCACGGGTCCAACTATCTCGCTATCAAAGGGTCACTTTTTTCCAATTTTCCCCTCTACTTTTCTAATATTTTCTTTGATAAAAACCCTCTCCTAACAATAACAAACATAACAAAAAAAGAATTAGCAAAATTGGTCCAGGCGTTGTTGAGTTATGCGCTTACCAACACATTTTGCGATCCATTTTTATATATATAGATAACATTTTGCACAGACTGCTAATTGATAACTTAGTGCCATGTTTCTTGTAACAGATTTCCATAGACAAAAAGTAAAAAAATTGTTTAGCACTCAACCAAAGATTCGTTGTTTTGAACTTGTTGTGTTACCTTTAACAATACTTACAAAAAGATATTGTCATTTCTTATTCATTACTCAAGGTCTAGACTAGAAAATAAATTGGGAACTAGACACTTTTTCGTCGTTAGTGAGGTAGTTAGTAGCTACCCTTGCGTAGCAGGAACCGTTAGTCTATAATTCTTTTCTGTATGCCGTATTTTTTTTATTTAAGTATCCACGGTTCTTACCTGCACACAGCTTTGTCGTAAAGTATGGTGGCGATCTTCACGACGTGCGTAACGACGGCTTTCTTGTCCAAATTGTCGCCCAGTAACACCGATTGGACACACCGCAGTACCCACGTGTGGAAGTCGCGACGGCCGCGGATATGGTTGCGTTGTTCTAGAGACGCCCAGCTTACTTCGTCACTGGGAATGTGGTGGGAATTTGATATATATATTTTATTAATTGGTAGGTAATATTGACATTCTGAGAATCTAAGAAACTTCGTCGGCTTGCTTTTTTTATATCATTGGTCGGTAAACGAGCAGACGGATAAATTGATGATATGCAACCAGCGCTGCCCATAGACACTCGTGTTACCTACCAAAAGAGTTACCACAAGTGCGTTGCCCTTTGACCTTTTGTCGGTTATTAGGCATTTAAGGAGAGGGGGTTTGAGGATTGGGGATTACTTTAACATGATTAAAAGACTGAACCCCAGAAATCGCAATAAGTAGCGTTAATACGAACAATATGACAGAATGTACGAATTATGAGTTAACAAATCTGACAACGGCTGTAAATTAGACAATTTATTTTTTCACTTAAAAAGTGTACATTAAATACTGACACCAAGCTAAATGCATGTAATGCTGCTTAAAACTATATTGATTTTCGATTCAAATATTAGATATTATACTTCAAATCTTATGTATAATTTTTTCTAATTGTCTATTTCTTGTTCATATTGATGTTATGGTGCCCTATGGGCCTCGATCCCTGACAATAAAGATATTTCATTTATTTATTATTAAAACTGCAGTGGTGATAAAATGGTTAAAACTGCCCTGATGTAAACTAACTACTGGACTAAAGGTGACAATGCATTTATTTTAATTAATTTATTTTTTATATACACTTTATTGCACACATACACTAACAAGCAACACATTGGATAATACGAAAAAATGTTGTGATTACAATGGGCGGTCTTATCACAAAAGGCGATGTCTTCCAGACAACCTTTCGATGGTTATTTAGAAGATGTAACAAACATAAGTACTAAAATAAACATACCTGTACAGCAACTCAATGATCTTCAGACAGAACCTAGTGTCCCAAAGACATGGAAGTGGTTTGAAAGGTCCAGCCTTATCCTTCACCAGGTTAGACAGCTTGATGGGAGCCTTGCCCTTTTCCTTCTGTGACTTCTGACTCTTCTGGGATTTTATTGTTTCTCGCGTCTCATTGAGGGTCTTGTTGCCTTTTTTACTTGATTTTGGAAGGACCTGGAAATATCAAGTGCGATGTTAAAACTACTAGATACTGTTTCATCTCTAAGTCGCGACTATTCATGACACTGGTACTGAAAAAATGCTCTTCGTAGAGCCAGAGGGGCCCGCTTCTCACTAATGATGGTCGGGTTCAAACCTGACAACAACCAATGTGAGTATTGCAGAGTAATAATTTCAAGTCTGCTAACACGATAACAATATTGTATTACAAATAGTATATCTATCTATATAGTATACCTATATTACAATAGAGCTGTTTAATGTTTGTCCCCTAAAATAAAATCACATAATTCTGATTAAGAAACCATAAACCTTTTAATTGTGAGAGAGCCATGCTTCGGCACGAATAGGTCGGCTCGACCGGAGTGATACCACAGCCTCAAAGAAAACCGGCGTGAAACAAACACAGCAGTATGTTTCGAAGTTACAGGAGGCCCAATCCTTCCCCTTCCCCAACCCCTCCCTAATCCCTAGATCCCCAAAAGGTCGACAACTCATTCGATACCGATCTTCCGATGTGTCCATGGACGGCGCTGAATGCTTACCATCAGGTAATCCATCACATAAAAAAATAAGTACCTTAGTCTGTTCCAGTATCTGATTGCAGGCTTTAAACAGCTTGTACAGTTTTTTGGCCGAGTCATCACTGGTAACAGTCCACTGCATCACTGTGTGGGCAATCAGAGCTTCGTAACATTGCAACGTCTGCTGGACTTTCAAACTCTTAGCTTTTGATTCCGGTGTCATGTCTGAGAGGTTGGATTCTTCCTGTAATGATAGAGAAAAAATAATGATTTATGTTAAGGCCTATTTCAATAATATCAGCTGTAGGACAATTACAGATATAGTACATTCTGTGTAGGAAAATGGCTAGACGGCCTTACTGCAAGGAGCATACAAAGTAGCTGACAAAATGGTTGGTAAACATTTCTAGATTTTCTATCAATTCTATCAATGAACTAGCTGACCCGGCAAATTTCGTTCCGCGTCAAATATAACAATTATTTTTTATGGCCTTTTGAACCCTCCCTGCATATCCAGAAATATTTCAAGTTTACAATAAAGCATTTCGGTCCAGCCTTTCTCGAGTTTTGGCTAGCTAAACTAACGAGCAGCAATTCATTTTTATACATAAGTAGATTAATTAATAACAAGTATTTTATTTCTAAAACTTAGTTTAGTCATTCGATTTACCCTGTACTCAGGAGCTATTGGACTAAAAATGTTAGATGTAGTCTTGTATCCAATCCAAACGAATATTATAAATGTGAAAGTAACTCTGTCTGTCTTTTCTTCATGCCTAAACTACTGAACTAATTTCTGTGAAATTTGGTACAGACATAGTTTGGAACTCGAATAGAAAAGGAAATAGAATAGTTTTTATACCAAAAATTTGCCGGTAGTCACTATTCCACGCAAACGGATTCGCGGGCAAAAGCTAGCTTTAATAAATGTACCATTTAAAAATGACATGTTTTCTACCTGTACCATCAGTTTCTGAGATTAGCGCGTTCAAAGAAACGAACTCATTAACCTCCGACGGAAAAAGAGGATATGTTTGACGTGTCTGTCTTTTTCATAATATTATTGTAGATCTCACCATATCAATATCGACGAAACTGTCAGCATCACAGAGTTGTTGCATTACTCTATTGAGCTTGCTCTTCAGGTAAGCGTGGCCAGTCTCCACCGTCTGGCTGGAGAGGATGTCTTCGAGGTCCTCAACCTCAGTGGTCTGCAGGAACTGGGCCACTGCGAATAGGAGCTGGCCTATCGGCTCCTAATAATAATGACAGAATATTTGTTGAGTGGAATAAATGTGCTCTCAGATTGGACAAGTTCTTATCCTACTTATACCACGTATGGATGGATGTTTATTATTATTTAACGTAAAAACTACTGAATTGACTAGTGCGAAATTTGGTACCTACATAGGCAGGTTATAGCTTCTTATATATCAACTATAGATACAGTGTATGCGCTAATAAGTCTTAAAATGCTGTATGCTTGCATTTTTTACTGAATTTTATTAAATTAATATAACTGAGTTTTTTTTCGTTCATTCTGATCAATATAAATAAACAGGTGTGGCGATATAAATATTTAATTACATATGTATGTACTTACAGTCAAAACAACATTCACACCATTAATCTGTACACATTTGTCGATAAGCAGGGAGCCAGCATTCTCGTCCTCAGGCAGGTACTTAATCAGATGGTCGTGGAACAACTCCAGAATAGACTCATGTAACATCTGCTTGTCTTTAGCACAGTCGTACAGTTCTGAAAATAAAATAATAATATAATTATGACGACGGATTGATAATATTTACCGTCTATGAAAATGTAAACAAATTGGTTGTAGTGGCCTTGAAGTTACGGCCGCTTCCATATTCTAATTTCAATTATTGACTAACACCCGGTTTCTGAAAGGCTTGTCAACGCTAAAATTAACTAATCTCCTGTTAAATCTCTTGTCAAGTCATCTGATTGGTTTTTGATAATTCAGTCAACCAATCAGATGACTTGACAAGAGATTAAATTGATTTTAACATTGATCGGCCTTTCGGAAACCGGGGTAAGACTTATGAATAGTGTATGTAACTAAATTAAAAAGTAAAATCATGTCTAGTTGTATCTCAAGAGATATTTACTAGAAACCACCCTTATTTTGCACAGGTTACGATGAATTCAAAGTCAAAGCATTCACTTCAATTATTATTTACATGAGACACTTTTTAATGTGTGAGAGAGATATTGTAATGAGTGTGCGTTATGTACCGACAATTGTAATATAATGTAAACAATATTAGGATCCTTACAAATTGTGTACAATTTGTAAGGATCCTAATATTGTTTAATGAAGGCACTTATTTAAATTTAACTATTTTATAACTTACGTGAATACAGGAGCTGTTTGACGAGCGCATCTTGTACAAGGCACCGGCGCAGTATTGATACTACCTCCATACACATCGCCTCGTTGCGGACACGGGAAGTCACACTACATCAAAAAATATTTAAAGGATTTAAAAAATGAAATATTATATTATAACTTTAACTGTTATAGCTTATATATCTATACTAAGTTATAATATCTTGAAAAGATCATTTTTTTATAATGTTTACATAAATACAAAGATCCCGAAAATGCCTCAAACGTTTTCGATGATTTTTTTGTTATTGGGCGTCTGGTAACGTCACTCAAATGGTGAAACAACCGTCGTGAAACAACGCTGTGGTTGTTTCACGACGGTTTTCTGTGAGGCCGTGGTATCACTCCGGTCGGGCCGACCAATTCGTGCCGAAGCTTGGCTCTCCCACACACTAGGGTAAAATAATCGATCTACAAATAGAAAAATATTTTTTATACAGTTTTAATACTCACGCAGTCCCATTTTGCGTAGTATGCAGGTCTACAGTAAGCTGGGTGAGGTACGAGTGTCCGCTGTGTAGCTCGCTACAGCTCTGGGAACTGCTGATGGACGCATTCACGCGGACGTTGCGCAGTACTGACAGGAACCCTGATAGTGCCAGGCAGCGGTGCTGGGAGTCCCTGGAACAGATAAGAGAGATAAAGAGAGATTATTAGAGTATATGGGCTGTACAGTTGTGTAGCACAACATGAAAAAAGGTACCGTTTTGATCGCGTTAATATAAAAAAACGCACTAGTCACTCTTGCTTAAATCTATATATATAAAAATGAATCGCAAAATATGTTGGTAAGCGCATTATTCAATAACGCTTGGACCAATTCTACTGATTCTTTTTTTGTTGTGTGTGTTATTGTCAGGAGAAGGTTCTTATGAAAGAAAATAATAGAAAAGTAGAGGGGAAGATTAGGAAAAAGTGACACTTTGATAGCGAGATAGTTGGACCCGTGCGAAGCGGGGGAGGGCCGCTAGTACGTATATAATTATTTAAACAAGAGTGACTAGTAATACGTATATAATTTATACTGTAACGAACATTAAATGGCAAATAAAAAAAAACATATTACGAACAATACAAACCTGGAATAAAGTCCTTTCCGGCAGACCATGACAAGAGTATCCCTGATCCTAGTACTGAAGTTAAAGAGTGGGTGTACGGCATCCAGTACTGCTGCAGGAGCTTTGTAGCCAGTGGAGGAAGGCTGGCAGTTCTCTAAGATCATGCTCAGTTGAGAACAACGTTCCACGGACACCGGAGTTAGCTTGCACAATAAGTAGAGGCAGTCTGTTGAAATACATGATCAAAAGTCAAAATCATTTATTCCAATTAAACAATTAACAGATACTTTTAAAACGTTAAAATAGAATAATAGTCTCAGTCTGTACGTCAGTGAAGCTAGGTGTTCATTCCGAAGTGTAGATTCGAATGGAGGAATGTTTAAAAAGCGCACCAATACATTATTTAATTAATATTGCTGTACTTACATTTGAGAACCACTTATTAGTAAAAAATAAGGTTTTCTATCAATAGTTTCTGAAGCAGTTAGTTCTTTAAACGAAAATAAACTTGTCATTAAATGGGTGTAATTTCTTTGTTAACTTACAACTTATTTATTTATAAAGCTTGAAGAAAGCAAGCAAACAACTACAGCATTGTTTTGCCGTGTAAATGAGGTTACCGGAGGCCTAATCCTTCCCCTTCCCAAATCCTAAAATCTCCTAATCCCTAATCCCCAAAAGGTTGGCGACGCACTCGTAACTTCTCTGTTGTTGCGGTTGTCCATGGGCGGCGATAATTGCTTACCATCAGGTAATCCTTACATAAAAAAGCCATTGGAAGTTCCCGCTCTCAACTGACCAATATAGAAGTTTTTGGGAGTGACATCATGATGTATTGTACCTGCATACTGCCTCAGTGCAGTTTCAGTGCAGAGTTTGTCAGTGAGCTGCGTGAGTATATGTCCAGCAGTCTCGGGCTGCGCCTTGCTGAGCCGCACGAGTATGAGCTTGCCGTGCGACCAGCAAGTTGTGGCCACCGGCTTCACCCGCGGCACTGACAGCAACACGAACGCGAGGTTGATGAGCCCGCCTACTGTCAGCTGACGGTGGTTCGAACTGAAATAATTTTTAAGGGTTATTTAGAGCGTTTATTTGAGCCTTACTCAAACATTAAAGGTGACGTCAAAAAGTTTAACAGTTCAGTTGTTGTTAAGCAAATGATTCAAAACTAATGGAATTTTATTCAGTGATTTGACGATATACTTCCTTTTTAATTTTGATATCAATTTTTTAAGATAGGTATATAATATATGTATTTGTGCATAAAAAACATACATTAGCTTTATGTTTTTTGATGACAAATATGACGACTTTACAAGAAGTGTGTATCATATACAATACATAAATAGAATAGTTTTAAACATTTCGATAAGGATAATCATTGGACTAGTTGTCAAAAACCAGTAAACTTTTATTTTACGTAGAAGAACTACTGTTCTGTATGTACTTCGAAGATAAGGCTTAAATAAATTAAGCTGGTCATAAGAATAACGCCCTATATTATTATAATAATTCTAATACCATAGAATAGCTCTTTCAGAACACGCTGATTCTATACAGTTCTGCTTACCTCTCCGTGGTAAGAAGTTTGAGCAGACTAACGACGTCAACGTCAGGCGGTAGGACGGCGCGCACCCAGGCAGACTCCTGCGCACGGAGCTCGTCCATAGCGCGCTGCTCTATCGCTGATTTGATTAACTGTTACATAATAACATCACACATTAATTGATGATGATAATGAGGCTTAAGACTTAGGAAGACACTCCGGGGTCTGCGGACGGTGAGCAAGAGTAGCTCGCCTGACCAGAACCAGAACGGAGCCTGCGGTGAGTAGCGAACCACGCGCGGATTAATAACCCAATATACCAGTACAGATTGGGCCCAATAGAGCCTATGTTCAGCTGGGATTGCGAAACAAGCGCTATTAGGTAGTCTGGGCGAGAGAAAACGACTGATGATTCCCCCTCCCCCCCTCTCCCCCAATTGTTGCAGGTTGAGGCCGCGGTACATTATTGTGGTTGTACCCATATCTCCAGCTAAAAATCAGCCCTGTTGGGCTCCATCTGTGGTGGTCTGTTGACTCTTTGAGACAACCTGATAGAATGAGGAAGTTTCCTAGATCAAATTCGATGTTTCAATACATAAAATAAAATAAAGAAAAATAACAATAGGTAATTTTACTCTTCGATCTGTCGATACTCTAATAAATAATAATAATAACTTTAGCTAATTTGTAAGAAATAAGTAAGCTATTTGACGCAAAAATAGGATGACGTCATAATTAGGAGTTTCATACGAATTTCATAGAAACATATCGTTTTTGACATTTTGACAAAAATTATGAATTTGACTAGTTGGAAACCCCCGGATTAGTTTTTGATAAATATTAGTAAAACATTATTATAAAACTTGCTCAGATGAATAAACGTAACTTACATTCAAGCAGACACTTCTAAAGTCATTCCCCTTTTCCGACATGGCCAATGCCAGGTCTATGATGAAGGGGGCTCGTAGCACCTGTGTCTTCGGCCAGGACTTGAGGTGCTTGCGAACCACTTCAGGGTCTGCAGCTCCTTGCGAAATGTATAAGATGCACGTCGACAAGCATCGGCTTAACTCCGCTGAACAGTGTGGTACTGAGGAAATAATCCATAGTAAGTGTATGTTGTACTAGCTTCTGGCTGCAGCTTCGCCCGCGTTTCCCAAATAAAACTCAGATCACAAATTTAAAAAAAAAGTAACTGAAAACCCTCGTCTTAAATTAAATAATTGCGATACTTCGTTGCATTGTTGATAGATACGGCTCCACATGAAGAACATATTATAATAGGTATAAGTGCAGTATCTTACCTATATCATCGATATCGATAGTAGTGGACTCTGAGTCCTGTGGTGGCGGCTCCAGCTTGCTGTATAGCTGCACCGAGAAGTAGTGGCTTAGGTGGGACAGCACTATCTCAAAGTTGTTAGTCTGGCATAATCTAGAATAAAAAAATTATTAACATTAACGCAGAAATACAGTTTACTCACGCCTTGACTCCGATTGGGTTAACGCGAAAAGTAATTATTTAAATACTTTGGAAGGCCAGACGTTCCAACCTGATTGCATAGGTAGTGGTTGCAAGCAGACTTCCAAGGTTGTCATCACGGTGGTTCTCTTCGTGGTCAAAAGCAGGCGGTACATGTTGCTCGAGATCACTCCGATCATAAGGTTGAATAAAGCCAGTCAACCATACTTACTTGAGCAACTGATGCAGCAGTGGCGGCATGGTCTCTGGTGGTACATCAAGGATTTGTGAACAAAACTTGTTCACAACTTTCTTGTGATCATTGCGCGACAATTGCAAGTCCCTGGAAGAGTATATCTATTTACTTTTTTGAAAATGTTTTTTAAAAATGTTTGCTAAACTAGGATTTTCTTCTGTGTCGTTGGTACGTTTCACATATAAATTATAAATCACACGCAATCCCGGAACAACAATTTCTGGATCACACGAACAGTCCTTTCGTGCGGGAATCGAACCCGCCACACGTTCCGCGATGGTAAATAATTGGCCGCTCGTACAAACTCGCCACATCAGAAGATTTTCGTTTCCTAACTTTGGGGGATAAGGAGTTTTGTACCAATCCGATCGAGGCGGTACTAACGTGCCGAAACATGGCCCTCCCACATCACAGATAATCTAGTATTATGATACTATGTGTGAGTGTGTTCCATTTTATTTAAATTACAGTTCTTTAAAGGGCCCCTGCACAGTTGGCTTCGATATGTCGTACGCTTCCCAAATGGCCGATACCCTATGGTCCCATGATTGACATGGGCATACAAATATTGGTAATGCTAATAGCTAATCTAAACTACCAAACTTATAAATGCGAAAATTGACTTTGCTGTCTTTTCTTCACACCTAAACTACTGAACCGATTTGTGTGATTTTTTGTCAAGACATAGTTTGGAACTTGAGAAAAGACATAGGATAGTACAACATTACAAGAAAGGCTTACTTGAACATCGCAGCCAGCTGAACTAGTTGTGTCTCGGCCCATTTACACTGGCACAGAGTGTGTATGCACTGCTCTTTGAACTCCGTGATGGTAAGGTCTGAACCAAAATGCTTGATCGTGTCATAGTTACTTAGCGCATTGAAGCATTCAGGTAGCACATCTCTCCAACTAGAAATTAAAATGTGTTTTTAATAATTTGCAATCTACACTAATATTATAAAGCTGTACCTAAATTTTGTTTGTATGAACATGCTCATCTCGCGGAACTACTGGTTTGAATTAAACAATTCTTTTAGTGTACCAGTTAAGTTATAAATGGGAGTATTCCAACTCAGTCTCCTTACTATTAATGAGAAATTGTTTGCAATAATGAAATAATCAAATAGTATTTTGCAAGACCCAAAATATTGTTTAAGTAATTACACAAATTAATGTATACTATTACTATGCCAATATATTTAGATGTAGCTACAGTTTTTAAGTAAAATAAATGAATAATAAAATACCTTTGAATAAAAAAAAAATAAAAAAATAGAGACTGATATGAGTACTGAATGTACTGAGACTCCTACACTAACTTGTATGCTTTCTAAGAAAATTCAGTAGCTAGCCAAAGGTTACAATTGCTGTATAAAAGCTAAATTATCCTTTCAATTGTGGAAATTTGTGACAGAGTAGTAGAACAATACGTATGCAAACACTGGCATTTACTTGGGTTTGATGAATTAATCTATATTTTCTTAACTCCATAGCTCTAATAAGTATTATATACTTATACTCACGTATTATTAACATCGCTGTGATTTATGATACACTGCACGCTATCATTGGCCCAACGGACCACATCATCGACAGGTAACTTTGGGAACTCCACACATATCCTGGCTAAAACATCACCACAGTGAGTCAGAGTTGTAGACTCCCTCCTCAAAATCTGGAGAATCTCATTGATAACCTACAACATAAACAAGAAACTGTGTTAAATTAAAAATAATAACACAAAAAGGTTAATGAAATTTTATCATTATTAGGGTTTCATATTGGATAGGATAAACCAAATATGTTTATGTCAATTTATTAGGGTTTAATACCCAAAGGGTAAAAATAGGAACTTTATTACTAGACTTCTTTTCATCATCATCAAGTATAAACAATGATATCAAATTGTCAAATTTGAAAAATTTGGACAAATGAAGTATTTTTAATGTTGTTCCAATTTAGTAAAATATTTAAAGACAAGTAACCTTGTTCTGAATATTTTAAATTTTGAATAGTGCTGCAGGCGGTGGCAGAGTGGGAGTAGAGCCTTTTTAGTCCACAAACCCTGCAGCACTAAACTAAAGTCAGTCCCTGTTTATAAATTAATTTCTAAATAAGAGTTCCTATTTAACATTGTTCACCAGACAATTTAGTGTTCTAGGAAACATATTCAAACATGATGCAAGTCATGTTCAGACATGTTCCTTATTCGTCATATTTACCTTTACTTTAATCTTTCCACCAGGGTCTCTACTTTCGGGAAATCCATTCAGTACACAGTTCACCAGGTTTCCAAAGTCTCGACGTAACACCCATTGTTCTAAATATTTAAATATCTGGAAATTAATACATTATCGTTATGTATTCCTCACAATCAATTAATTTTATTAAAAAAAATCCCCAACCTCCTCAATATTTTGATGGCAAAATTCATGTAATTCTACTCGTGGTTGGTTCAGTCGCCCAAATTCTTGTATTATCTCAGTTAATTTGTCGAACTCGCTTTCAGTATTTTCCATGTTGTTGGAATGGTGGTGCTTTGTGCTTTGTTTATAATTTTACATATGACGCCATGTCCTCAGCCATGAGCGGCGCCAAGCCAAAATATTTTCAAATCAGTCAAATGTCAAATCTAAATTCAAAAAATGTCACAACAAACCACAGGTAAATTATGTCAACTGTCACAGCACAGACTACTAATACTAGTTAGTCTATGTCTTTGTAAAGTTAAACTTACTAGCCAGGACAAAATAAGAATTATTGAATAATACCTATAAATGCTAATCTATGGGTTCCAGCGCTAAATGTATCAATGTAATTAGTATTATGAAATTGTAAAGTATGTATATCTTGCAATTAAATATTTTGATTTGATTTTGAGCTGTCTAGACCATAGACTTGACCACACAAGTGAAACATAGTTCAATCACTTTGGATTATTGAAAGAATAAACCATGGCTTACTCCTTAAGTAATTGTTCTTACTTCAAAATCATAACCCTGTAGTTTTAGGTGTCGAAAAGTTCACACAAAAATTCATTATAAATTAACATCAATCATTCTGGTAACATTATATTTTTAATTTCAAATGGCATCCCCGTAACGTCTTTTTTGATGACGTCATCAGTTTATGTTTAGCGATTGAGAAGTTACGAAATTGACGAATTTCATTTGTTGCGCACGTTTGTGTACAATTTAGTGTACGCGCTTTTATATTTTTAAATCGTAACACATAACACATACTCATATATCGTATGACGTTCAAAATCGAAGTCCCATGTGTAGTGTAACTGAAAGTCACCGAGACATTCGTTACGTTACTTTTGGCGGCACCGCATGAAGCCACAGAAATAGATTTCCTTGTGCAATATCGGCATGTATTAAAAATTCGGTGAAGTAATTTGAATTTCGGTGGAATTTTGGTGAGATCATCAACCTTGGGTCGTTAGAAGCGAGGTGTGAAGATGGTGTAAAGATAGTGATAACAGCAAGGCAGTATCAGTGATAGAAACATGGAAAACCCGACGGTTAGAGAATTGAGGTCAAGGTCTCGTTCGAAGACACCCTTCCTGCGATCGAGCTGTGATCGTGAGAACTGCTTGGATGGTGAGGAGCATACCCATCACAAGGGAGGACGAAAAACACCAGTGAAGAGAAGCACTCCTATCAAGTAAGTACGCTAATCATTATCACCAACAAAACATAAGGACAAACCATCTATCTCACTAGAAACATAAACAAGAGGTCCAGATCCAGTTAGGAAAAAAAAATTAAGACATAACTTGAAGAACAAGAATCTTGCTATCACAGCTTAAAGTATTTCAAATATCAAAGATTAGGTACAATAAGATATACCTATATGCTTTTTATCATGTATGTCACTATTAAGTATATCAAGAATTGATTGTTCAAGACCCAAGCCTTATTTTTTAATTTCAGTGTTAAAGTGTACTGTACTGTATATTTCATATCATTTTTTTTAAGTTTTGTAAATTGTTGAATTTGTTTTTTGGGAAACATTCAAATGTTGTCTTAATAAATGTTCTTTTAATACACAATAAAGTTGACAGATAACTTAATAGTTTAGGCAGGATAATTGTAAAAATATTTAAAAATGCAAATATTCATTCATACAGTATAAGGTCACATGCCATAACAATATTATTTATCAATGAGAACAGTTGTTTTATAAAATAGCAAGGAGGTTTTACTCAATGGAGAGTAAATTATATCATAAACAAGCACCCACAACATTTTTAAGATTTATATGACAGTTTGGTCACAAGGTTATTTAGGGTCCAATTGAGGACAAGTTTTGTTTACAATGATGTCACATCACATAGATTTAAGGTCATTAAGGTACATGGTTTTATAGTGACCTTGTGGCTACTATGCACAGCTCTGATTCTGAGAATATTGGTCATAGCTTTATTTTAGTATAATGTTGTAATGAAAACATTGAATATGTAAAATATAGTCACTGCATGAATAATTATTAGGTACCTATGCATAATATGTCATTCTGAATTTCTCACCTTTATTACAAAATTTTCCTAATGACACTCCCTAACCTATAAAAACTCTATGCTAAAGTTAGTAGAGAGTAATGAATTTATAATTAGTGTTCTAATATTCTATTTAAGAAAGATAAATATTTGACTAACTAAATTAGGTCTTTATGATAATCATTTCCAATTTTAATTTCATGCTAGATGAGATAAAAAATAATAGTAATTGAATGCCACTAGGTACAAAGTAACAACAAATTAATTAAATGCTTTCTTTGATAAGAATAAATGTGAAGAAGAGAATGTAACCTTGGCCAGGGGAAGTGAGTCATTTGATAATTATCATTATCAACACACACAGACCTTAATAAATATGTTATATTCTACCAACTAACACCAATGTTGGAACAAACATTTTACGCAATAAATATTTGTTTTTCTGAACAATTAACATGGTAAAGTTGTTTGTTAAATCATGTTGATAGTATTGCCACTAACGTGATAGGCAAACTGCCAAAGATTTGTACAACATAGTATGTTGTAGCCAAAACACTATGGCTATAGCAAATCAAGGTCGATTGAATATTTGTTTATGTCAATTCACCAGACTGTTATGTTGGTATTTGGTAATCTTCTGGTAATTATTTATAAATCTATACATTATGTATGTTGGTATTTGGTAATCTTCTGGTAATTATTTATAAATCTATACATTATGTATAGGTTTATAAATAATTTGGAATATAAACCTTTTCTCCTTTGGGATTCATGAGCTACTTACATCTCCCAACTAAAATACTCTTTCGTTTCAGCATGCTAATCATTAGAACTGGCACTGTCTTATTTGTATTTGATTCTAAGTATATCAACCCTAAAATTAGCAGAAAAAATCTAAATCTTGACCAAGCAAACAACACACTTGGTACTATGTAAAACAAAAGTATGTTCAACTTCTATCATAATTGTCTTACTTTCTTATTCCTTTAACTTATTTCTCAGGCAGTTAAGCCAGCCAGCCAGTACAGTGACTTCGGAAACGATAACAGAAGTAGAAGAAGAGATCTCGCAACCAGTGCATAAGACTCGACAGGCCACCAGGAATGCAGCACAGCTCATCAGGACATCTGACTACTCCTCAGAGGAAAGCCTTGACCGGTTGAAGGGACACTCCAAAGAAGTAGTCCAGGTGAATATTGCTTTAAAACTTTTAGCATCTCATCTCACAAAATTGTTCTCATTATACACTGAACTTTGAAGACAGAGCTGTTTTATATTTAAATATACCTACTATTAAGTTTCTTTTTAACTTGAGCTATTTTTTTATCAGATTACCGATAACTCTACATAGTATCGTAGTGCATGCAAAAACGCCAAAATCTAAATCAGAACTATGTGTATTTGAAGCTCGTAAAACTCATCTATCATAATCGTGACGAATACCATCAACTAAGATAAACTTCTTAAATATTTGCGCATACACGATGATGAATCCATTAGTCCATTCATGGACACCGCGACGCGTGGAAAATGTAAACAAAGGTTGCAATGTCCATATGTCCACTGCCCACTTTAGAGTTTGCACACGATGTTCTTATGCACCTGGCTGTTGGTAACACACTCTGTAGTATGTTATGTTTATGTATGTTACAACCGCGAGATGTCACGGCCGTAGATGCGATCAAGATGCTACTTATTCGTTTTTATATTTATTTTCGTGCGTAAGACTGGACTCTATAGGCTTGTAGTTCATTTTGAACGAATGCGAAAAAGATGCAATTTTTTGTAGAACTTATTAATTTGATGTTGTATATTTAGCTAAATGGATGATCAAAGAACTACTTATTATTGAAGTCTATGCAATAAAACACCAATACAAACAAGATGAGTATACATATGTATAAGTCATTCAATTACCTGAACACTATTTTAAGGATAACACTGTGTAGGGAATCCCGAAATTCGTGAGCAAATCATACAAAATGGAAAATCCGATTCTTTTTTTATCACACGAAAGCAAAAGTTAGTTCACACTATTATTACTTAGCTGTGTATTGTAGCTAGGCCACCTGGCCCAATGGGTAGCATACCAAAGTCAACACACTCCTCTCCTATTGTTTACGCTATTACAAATCACATATCCATCTGTCCGATATCTGTTTACATAATAATATTGCCCGCAATACAAATCGATTTAATTGCCTGAATCGAATAAAAGTTTATTTTATTGACAGTGGTGCTGTTTATATGTTGCATTTTGATTTTACAATCTGTTTTATATTTAAGCCTCTTCTGCCAGACAACCCATTGTCAGATTCTTTAGTCCTATTTTACGACTTTTATTTATGTTTTAGCTAATCTAATTTCTAGAGAGTTTGATTTGTTTTTGTTAATCTAACAGGAACTACTAATAAGGACTTGGAACAGGCTCTACACGGACTGGGATGGTTTCAAACTGCGTTACGTTTTACGCTATTAAAAACAGTCACGGGCAGAAATCACAAGTGCGAAACCCTAAAAAAACCGCTTGCATTCTGTTTCTTATTTCATAAAATTTCGCGGCCCAAGCCTTAGGATTAAATATATTTTTATTATACAGTATTTTAATACAAATAAATTAACTTGGTCTGACCCTTGTGAAAGTCAAGACATATACAAACTTTTTGTTATTATATTAATACTATTAAGTATTCCTACATTTATTAAACATGGATCTTATGGCGGACTTAAGGCCATAAAGCGTGCTTTACCTACCAGACATCCTTAGGGTTTAGGAAATAGAAAAAAAAGATAAGATAGGAAAAATATGTTGGACTAGAATAATAAAAAAAAAATTGAATGCACATAGCGTTTAATTAATTATGAACCGTCTGCTGCATGGCAATCAGCTCATTTAGCATATCACCATGAATGGCAGCGGTTTCCGTATAAAGAACGTCATTGGACTAAATTTACTTGAAGCTTTATCTTCAATGCCTACAGTATTAAAAGATTTAGATAAGAAGTGTGCTATACAAACAATATGTTACAAGCTACGGCCGAAACTAGGAACAAGGTCTACTGTAAATACTCTTTGTTGTAACCTTGAGAGAATTTCGGTTGAGTTTATAGCTTATGGCGTATTTAGCAACTTTGTATGAGATACTTGATGGATTTAAAATGTACATAAATATCCAGCTACTAGTAAAATCGTAACTCATGACCTCATCAGTTCAGTGATTTGAACGTAAAACAACTTCGCGGCAAATACAAGTAGGGTAGCTTTAAAATAACTGCTTTAATTTAAAACTCGATACATTTTAATTAGGACGTGTAACACTAAACACGCTAGGGTTGCATGTTTTGGGTGCATTAACATTTTTAACCGCTTTTAAAAAGTCGCATTTGTATATTAGCCGCACCTTACCACGTAAAGCCGTTAGTCTGTCGTGCCTCCAATAGTACGTGTTTAGCCTACGAAAAGACTTTATTTAAACAATTATAGCGGTATTTTAAAGCCTAGAAAAATCTCGGTTCTCTTCCTACAGTAAAGAAAAATATTTTGCTCCTTGTTAGCAAAGTAGCTGCGCCTAATAATCGGGTGTTTCACCCTAGATACTTGTAGCTTGCGTCACGCCCTAAGCAAACACCAGTAATTGTTGTTTCAAGGACTCGCGTACGTATTTATGGGAACCGAAACTGGCATTTGGTTGTAGTCTTTCGCCATGCCTGCATTACGAACAAACGTTCGCGAATACCGACATATTTGTTTTTCCGTTTCACTCTCCCGCTGATGTAAAATGAGCAGTACGCAAACATTGTTCCAAATATTCAATTAACTTAGTTTGTTGACCTCATAAATAAATCAATATACGCTTTTAACCTTCATCCATAATTACACTTTGAAGTTTATATGCACCACTATCGCTTGTCTTAATGTTTAAGATAATCCCATCTCTATTTGCTTAGATCGTTCACCTCTTTTCAAGATCAACTGCACTATGCTCGTCCGTCTTAATTGAATAGCAATTATAACCGAAACATAAATAACAATCAAGCAATTGAACTTAACAGACGCCCACATGTTCGTCTAACCGACGTTTCCTCCTGGTTACACTCCTTATATTTAAGCAGTTTCCGCCGCTAACCGCGTAGAATAATGTAAATGTATTCTATTGTCACACAGAACAGTGGCAATAAACCTGAATCGATTCATATTAGCATTCAGTCACGGAAGTCTAGAACAATATGAAAACACTAACTACGATCTACTTAGCTATTCAATCTTAAATATTCAGCTTTGAAATACGCGCGCTAATGGCGGTCGCGACCACCCAGCCGCCAGCCAGGCGCTTGACACTTCATATTTACAGCATTTGGTCTTGAAATATAATGAACATGACCGTTAGATAAACACCTACATTTCGACGAGACAATAATTTATTGTTAGCTGAGCTTAGTAACGCTATGCGCTTACTGGCCGCCGGTCCTGCCGGTAAGCTCTAGAAACAGGAAAACATAGCGATTATCCTTCCAAATATAACTGAAATCAAACTTCCCCCGCGTGGTTTATTTTTGAATTGCCCATACTTCACGTATGGGGATTATTATTTCAAGCCATCTGGCGCCCTACAGTCGCTACGCGTTGATAGCGCAGTGCATTAGTTTCTTAGCAAAGATAGTAATAATTACTAATTTAGGAGAGTGATTCCAATTCCAAGATTCCTGACCTAGATTCGGGTGTGGTGCTTAATTTAGAAATATCCAAGGATCGTGTAGAGGGAGGCGCGGTGCTATGAAGTTGCTATGGTGATCCGGTGAGTGAAATTACGCAATTGTAGTGTATCAATCGATATGCGGTTAGTTGAGTGAGGTCTGTGTGCGTTGAAGATGTTTTCTCGGGCGTTCAAGGTCGGTTACTGATTAGCCCACATACATAAGTGTAGTGCATGCATACATTATCTGACGCTAGCTACGCTTGTCTGTAGTATAAATCCTCCGTCACGTCGCTCGCTGGTTCTTCAACATACTTGTACCTTTTACATGTATATTAAATAATATGTGTTTAACAGCGCATGTGCAACTTATTCCAATGGCCAGTCGGAATCGATACTTAAAACCAATTTACTGCGTTTTCTGTGTACTCTCTCACCTGCTCGCTATTCACCTGTCCGGAATATTTATGGAAATCGATTGAGTATTTTGAAATTGAAGTTCGTTGCATCAGAAGGCATTGAAACACTCAACAATAGTATTATGGAGGTGATTTTCCTGTTCACTTTAGCATAAAACAATGATGGCGATAGATATCTACTTCCTTATAGACCCTACAACAATCAATGTTTATCACTGCAATAGCTTACTCCTCCGCTAATAGTATTCGTCAGTTTCCGCACTCACTTATATGGTCACCAAACCGTTTTGAAGTCTATTTGGGGCAACGAAAACTGCGGGCGACACTCACTTTGATCTCTTTCAAACGAGCGGATATTGGTAATTACTTGGAATCGATCAAGATTGGGCAAACGCTGATCACTTAGCGGTAATATTCTACGGCTATTGTTATTGCTTTGAGTTGGCAAAAACATTTGATTACCTTAAACCTGTACATTTTTCCCTCTTCTATCATTGTGGTTTGCATAGTATTAGTTATATTATTTATAGTACAGTTAATTTACTGGCACCTACAATACCATTTACAAGCATTCTGCCATGCTGTTGGTCTGCGGTCATTTTCTCTTGGATTTCCGCACGTTTAGTTGCCCAATTCTTCAATGTCAAAGTCCTAGTGATTCATGATTCATAGTTTGGCGCGCTTGCATCAACAGCGCCACGCTTGGATTGCCTCTAACAAATTCTTGTGTACTTTTTGTTGAACTTACTGTAACTATGATGTCACTATGATGATTGAGGGAGTTTTTTTTTTAATTTGTTACAAGCAAAAGAAAGAAACTTAGATTCTCTGCACGTGGATCTTAAATAAGTTTTATTGTAGTCTTGTAACATATTATTATACTTGATGAAACTTTATTTTATCTTTCTTTTTATGTCGTCTTTTTGGAGATACTAAGAGTTGCACTCAAGTGAAGCACTCATTAAGAGGGTAACAAGGATTAGTCAGAGGAGTTTTAATTAATAACGGCTTTGACAAAAACTCGCTCGTAGTCATAAAACCTCGTTACTTTCGTGATCCTACACATAATATAATTTAATGTTAAATAGTACATAGTTTGCTTCTTCCAGTTTTTGGTTGTCAATTAAATAATTCTTATTTCTAACTTATAGGTTTTCTAGGCTAGGCGCTAAATGCTTAGTTAGCTTAGTAATAATGAAACCTTAAAAGTATCTATTACTGTTAATCCTTTGACGCACCGATATTTTTATACCTATAGGTAATTCATATCACTTTCAGTTCATTCCTTAATTGAATACAAAAAATAACGTACCCAACAATGTTCTTGCTATCACTTACACAGCTAAGTAATTTCCTGTTGAATATATTAAATATTTTTTTTAATTTTTATTCATTTATTTCAATGTTATCATTCTGACATTACAAAGTCGGCAAATGAAATAAACATTTTCCTTTGATCTTGATAATTTACAAGCATTAAGATTCGGAAGAACTGAAGATTCTCTCTGAATATTTGTCACTTTTTTAAGGCAACTGCACTGCAACTGTACCCTAAACTGGTTGTTTGTTGAAGGTTCGCGAATGGCTTTACTAATTGATAGTTTTAGGAAATATTCGTGGAGGTTCCGGGAAAGTTGCCTATAATGTATTTGTGTGGGTGTAAACCGCAGTACTTGAGTGGTTCTCTGTAGTTTTGAAACAAATGTAACATGTTGGTGCAATTTTAAGTTCCAAACGTATTAAAGTTTCGTGACAAGAGACAGGTGGCCTAATAAGTACTCGAGACATAATTGATACAGGAACCAGACGCACTGATGCGCGTGCGCATAAAAGGAAATGTCACGCGCCATAACAGTTAACGCCTTGTGTAGCACCGGATAGTATTAATAAGATGGATATTAATTACTGTACTACAGTATTTTTGGACGGTCCAAACAAAGGAGGTTTTAAGGTCTTGAGTTTTTGGTATAATGTTTGGTATAAATTAAATAAAAATTTATCGTAATAGTAGGTTACAATTTTTATTTTATCCAGTGTAAGTTATTAATAAACAAGTCTGGTCAGTCAGTAGTAGACTATTACCTATTATCATACAAATTAAAATTAATATTAAATAACGTCAAGTTTATTTTATTATTAGATTATCTTTATAAGAAGAAAAGAAACTATTAAATAATAGATTCAACAGGTATTCTAGATATAAACAAGCACATAACTCATTATTTATTTCATCATCTAAGATACTTCTATACTAATATTATAAAGAGGTAAAATTAGTAAGTTTGTAGGTAGGGGTAATCTTTGAAACCGCTGGTCGGATGGCCAAAATTCTTTTACTGATAAATAGCTACAATGTTCCTGAGTGCTATAGGCTCTAAAACATCACGCTATGATCCAATGGAGCCGAGCAGCGGGTGAAACCGCGCGAGAATAGCTAGGTTTATCACTATGAATTGTCATTTCGTTCATTTCATTATTTGTTCATAAAAATATTGATGGTTCTTAAAAATAAATTGAATTTCACAAAATTAAATTAAAAGTTGTATTTTCTTTAAATTAATTTTTAAGGTATAATCGATGAGATATTTATTTTCTTTTATTCATTTAATACTTATTTGATTTTAATGTTTAATGTGTTATCCGTATTAATTTATCCAATTTAATATTATTTATTGAACTTATCCTATGTTACCTACCATGTTTTATGGAAATACATGAATTGATTTCAAAAAAAAATTGCTGGCCATGATTTTTCCCGCCACACATAATGAGCAGCATAAGTAAAATCTGGATTTGCCCACAGAACGAGATCAACAGTCAATATGAACGCGTGTCGACGAGCTCGCAGCGCTACACCTCTCTATCTGAAGTCACGCTGAGCCCCATCTACACGTCACACGGCGTGACTCATGACCGGTAAGTTCGCGTTCATGGTACTACTCAAATATGGGTTTTTGAGGGGGAAAAATCATCAAATGACTAGAGTGAGGCAAGAGGAAGAGTCAGACTCTTACTGATTAAAAACCACAACGTTCCTTCTCCTACTCCATGCCGAGGCCGTTGGTACCTTACTCCGCTTAACTTGACTGACTAGACCAACACTAGAAGTTATCTTGATCCTTATCAATGAAAAAAATGTTACTTACACTTTTTTTCCCTTGCGTCTTCAGAGACGCATCAGATATCTGAGACTGAACGTGACTGAGACGCAGTCAATTAATTTTTTTTTTTATGTAATTGTTCGGCAAACGAGCCTAGGGATTACCTGATGGTAAGCAATCAGCGCCGCCTATGGGCACCCGCCAACGGAGGAGTTAAGAGTGCGTTGCCGACCTTTTAGGGATTTTTCTAGATTAAAGGCTTGGGGAGGGATCAGGGGAGGGGAAAGTTTGGGCCTCCGGTCAAAAAATATTTATTTTTAAATTTGTCTCTTCGTGTGTTTTGATGTTATCACTGTATTATAATCCACCCACATACGTGATTCAATCCTGGATATTCGACCTTATTTTCATTTAAAAATTCCTCTCAATGTCACCCACCCTATCTATCAGTATTAGTTTCACGTGTAACATGCATAATGAATAACAAGGTTACATATTTCCACTTTTCAATGCATTTCAATATTCAATGCTTACGTTTATGCAAATACTGTTCTTTGAAAAATATCGGTAATCATTTTAGCATCAATTTGCATTCATGATTGTTGTTAGTGCTTGGTGTTATTGATATATGCTTATGCACATGATGGGTGGAAATAGAAAATGGTACTTTAGGTTACGTAGTAACTATTCAGTAATCTGTGCTTTAGGTGTACGTACGGCAAAGTATTTAGTATGTATTAGGTTTTAAAATATTATGAAAGTTCGACCTAAAAGCATAGTTAAAAATGCAACTATCTTTTCCTCTTAACTACATATATTGATGCCTTGAAAACCATATTTTTCCTATATAAGTTTTGCTATGAATATAGTCCAAATAATGTTGACTCTTTCTTATGTCATGCATGCATGTGCTACCTGTCATTGTATATTTATCTATAATTAATTACCCTAAAGTAGTGCGAAGTAGCATATTGCGTATGATAACTAAAATTATTTGTGTTCCAAAAAACTAGGAGTCTGGTTTTAAAACTATACCCTTTCGGTCGCTTACTAAAGGGAGAAGGGTCCTCATGTTTCCCAACCTTATCTTATAAAACAAACGGACGACTGTAAACATTAAACCGCTTGGGAGTTATACACTGTGTTGTATGTCACAAAGTAAATATTGTTTTAAGTAATAAAAAATATGAACAGTGGTCTTAAAAAAGGTTGTATTCCATATTACAAAGGAGAACAGGAGAAGCCATATTGAAAAAAAAATAAGTTCAGGTAATTGAACCCTGTTATTGACGTCGTTGGTTTGAAGCCTGAAAAATGTGCCTTTCATCATATAAACATCTCGCTTTTAATTAAAAAAATGGTTTGAATTTGAACGTACAATTTGGATTTATTTGAATAGACTGTTAACTTTCCTTTGAATTCATTAAACAATGTCACTGCAAAACAATCTGAATTTTAAATCTGGAATCATTATCCCTAAAGAGGAAAAAAACAAACTTAATGACTGCACAATTATATCGCAAAATAAAATATTGGACTTTACGCATTCGCGTTATGCGTATACTCGTAGAAGTAATGATCCGATCAAGATTCAAACTACGCACGAGTTAATCATCGAAGAATTAAGCTATTAGAAATATGAGCGAGCGTACTCCTTCTTAAAAGGCCGGCAACGCACCTGTGACTCCTCTGGTATTGCAGGTGTCCATGGGCGGCGCCGATCGCTTACCATCAGGTGATCCAACTGCTCGTTTGCCTCCTATTCCATAAAAAAATTAGGTACACAGCACGCTGTTATTTATGTACCTATACGTTATCGCTGTATATATAGCTAGTTCAAAAAGGCTGTAATGAGTAAGAGCCTATAGTATTCTCAGAATAACAGAAGTTTTAACAACCATGTCGTCACTTATCATTAAAGTGCTGTTATGACGTCATATAAAATTAGCACCTCCATTGAAAAAGATCTTTGTTAATTATACAAAATGTTAAGGCACTAATACATGTTATTTTGTTCATTTCCGGTTAAGAATAAAAGATGGTATTTTTCAAATAAAACCTTGTTTGTGCCTTTAGCTGTTGTAAAATCTTACTATCTTATGTTATAAAAAATAATAATAATGAAATAATTGACGATGTGTATATTATTTTCTTACATTTAAACGCAAAATAATAATACTTAAGGATTTAGATGCAACTTGAAACAGAAATAGATTTTTATTTAGAATAACGCATGGCCTTATTTTATCTGGGTACCCTGGGAAAAGCCGTTTGCAAACGATAGTCTTTATATTCATAGTAAGCGGCTTAGATTTAGGATTTTTTGAAAACCGCGACGACCATCCAAAAACCCTCGCAACAACAAGCCAAAATCTACAGCCATGAAAACACCGAAATGTTTTAATATGTATTATATTCTACAACAATATAACTCAGAAGATACTCTCAGGGGAAAAGAACACGAAATAGTTTATACTTCCCTCGGTATCAATGGGCTTGTCAAACAATAATATTAGGTGAATGTAACTCTATTGGTACAGTTGGCATGGGCCCAAAATTTTTATCTGCCACGCTAATTTACGTCTACTGACGTAACTTGTAATAGACTGCACGTAATTATATACACGTACTAATAATAATGATATAAATATTTCGTTATCCACTGGATTTTTAAAGTACTGATGATCGATCAGTTTTGTTATATGTAACAAAATCATAAAATGCCGAAGAACTAAAAACTTTTCTTTGAAATATATTTTCTTTATAATTAGGTTAATTGACCCACGCACGGAATAGTTTTCTGAATAGATACTTTATCTAATTCTTAGCAAAATGTTCTCCCTGCTGAGTTTTACACATTCGTACCTGGCATAAAATGGAGTAGAACGTGGATCGTATTTAACTATACTATAAATAAAAATAACAAGCTAGAAAAATCTATACAAGTGAATTAGAAAGCTGAACAAAATAAGGCAAAAATGCAAAGGGCATAGCTATGGAAACTAAATTACGACTAAAACAAATACGCGGTAGTGGGCACTGTTCTAGATTCTTGGTAAAAGGTCATCGCCACATCTGGCCGCTGAATGTCTACTGTGTATGTCGATCGTGAACCTTAGCCCTTACACTTTGCTTTCAAAATATTCAATACTAGCTACTCTTGCGCGGTTTCACCCGCTGTTTAGCTCCATTTGATCGTAGCGTGATGTTTTAGCCTATAGCACTCAGGAACATTGTAGCGATCTATCAGTGGAAGAATTTTGGCAATCCGACCAGCGGTTCCAAAGTTTACCCCCTACATACAGACTTACAAAGATACAAAATTACAAACATACAAACTTACAAATTTTACCTCTTTATAATATTAGTATAGATACATAGGACATAGGTGGCAAATAATTCAAGTTTAATTTTCATCCCTCAGAAAAGTCCAGAAATCTTATTATTTACTAATTTGAAAAAATATACATTTATGCACATCTTTAAAACGATTCAACCCTTAACATTTCTTTCTTAAAATGTGTGGGGAATGACGACAGATGTATGATTTTAACTGAATCCCAAAAAAAGATATTTTTTAATTTCACCGCATATATGTTTATTTTTAAATTGGTTAGCCTATAACAAGATGTAATTAAATTGTAAGCAGCTTATTTTGCTTACAAATTGAGATGCCACTTCTAACCTATCAGTGGGTGGGTATCTAGTCTAACAATACATGAATAAGCAGTTATTATAATAATATTAATATTTTTAATTTTTAATATTGTTTTTGACGTCGTTTTTATAAACGCATTATTTTCTTGTTAATGTTTACGAAGGCACTAACTGTCCAAAAAAATAAAATCTGCACTTCGTGATACAAAACCTGTAACATTCGACTTTGATTGACTTCAGTCTAGTTTACAATTTAAAACACTTGACAATTATTCTGTTACGAAGTTGTAATACAACCCGTTTTAGTATATAAACTTGAATAGAACATCGTGACGACACGCTCTTGGCTCCGTAATATACATAAAATATACAACAACAAGTCTAGTCTATTCACTATTCATGTCAAATCAAATACAGGAGCGACATTCCCAATCTGGTTTTAAAAATGTTCCACAAACTAGTAGACGCAGAATGAATTTATAATTCAATCATTATTTAAGGATTCTTTTCTAAATCAACAGTTCCAAATTGTTTTGTTTTTATTAAAATTCAATTCTTGTTAATTATTTGAAACAAAGATTATTTTTGATAAACCAGTTTTGTGATAAGCTGTCTAATTCATAAGCTGCATAAAATTCAAATTACCTTGACCCCCAACGGTTAAATGTCAAACATAATTTAATTTTAAATACTAAACTGTAACGTCTGTTTTTGCAGATCATCTCGTATAGGCAGTCCGAGTTCGTACAGCGCATGTTCGACGGACAGCTCGTTCGCTGAGCAAGCGCTTGCTGATGCCAGCTTGCTGCTGGAACTGAACCCTAACAACGACCACCTGCCTTCCCGGCTCTACAAGATGGCACGAGAGTACTGGAAGTAAGTAAACTTGATTATGAGGTGTTATTGAATAAAATTAAAACTGTTGATGCAATTTGGTTGAACAAATTTTGAAGAAGTAAATACGCGACTTTTTTCTTATCATAATCACTCAATATGTACGGAAAGACCTGATTTGTTTTAGTATTTTATAGATAATATGCGATAACATCCTGTGTTTTTATTTTTGCTAGCGACAGATAAGCTATGCTGATTTAACAAACAGGAATGTATGTATCACAATAAGAAAAAATACAAAACACACCATGTTTGAAATCCAAAAAGTCCATTTAAACTATGAAATGCTTAATTTAAGTTATGAAATAATGAAAGGAATAAAACCAAACAGTCAATAAAATTCGAAATATACGTACTTATTAAATTAGCCTAACATTAACAGGTCTTATAATTATTTTTAATCATTACTTCCGGCAGCTAATTAAGTAAAAAAAATCATATAATGAAAATACGATAAACAATCTAAAGAAAAGATTAGGATACATTTTCCAACTCATTTTCATTTACAACAAGCTTATTTTTAGCTTGCAATGTACCTATGTTTGTGAAATGGGGTCTTACAGACGAAAGATAGGGAATAATAATGGTACCGTATCTAGTTTGTAATTGCAAAGGTATAACATCATTTCACATTTTTTAAATTATATCTGAAGAGATTAGTTCCGTGACTTATTGACACACAAAAAAGGTTTTAAACTAAAATCTATTAATTTAAATCTTCACAAGCACACACATGCACAAAAAGCACATTACATAATGCCTTAGGCATTCTCACACAATCTCCTTTGCACAAATTCGTACCTAATTAAAATAGAAATACAAACGAATTTACATTAGCAAGTCTAAAAAAACGCTTCGCGTTGCTCTAAACTGCTATTTAAGTGCCTGCTAAACTTAGATTGAATTTGAATACTGTTTTAGTACAATTCAAATCATTTATTGGAATCCATAATGTTTTACATAGTTGTAGTACTCTGAATACTTTGTAGGTATACATTCTTGCTAATCTCGCGCGTTTTCACCCGCTGCTCGGCTCCATTCGATCGTAGCGTAATGTTTTATAGCCTATAGCACTCAGGAACATTGTACCTATCCATCAGTGAAATGAATTTAGGCAATCTGACCAGCGATTCCAAAGATTACCCCCTACATACAAACTTACATATTTTACCTATTTAGAAAATTAGTATTTTACCTGTTTATAATATTAGCTAATCAATGCCTTGCGATTTCGCCCGCGTGCTATTCAGAAGATTTCATTGAATTAGGGTCACAGTCACAACCCTGTAGGAATGTAGATTCCTAAATTATGTTGAATTTTCAAATTGTCCAGTAATTTCGAACCGTCTCCATCAAAGACAGAAACAGTTTTTGTGTTAGTATAATATTGTTAGTATAGATATGTCGATACTTTAGTGATAGGATTCGCTTTCATTATGTGTCCTTGTCATACACGAGTGCATTATTTATGAACAACAGATAAGAAACAATTGCAATCGATTTATAATATACTATACATACCTATACATATAAATACACATTAATCTTAGTCACTATCTATGAAGGAATATAAAGTTATATTTACATAAATTTCGCAAAGTTATTAATATTAAAATACCCTATAAATGAATAATGACAAAATACAAACTGAATAGAAGTTCCAGGCATTGCGCTTACATATAAATGTAAACACTACGTAGGTACATTGAATGCATTTAATAATTAAATTGCTTTGAGTAAATGGTGAATTAATAGCCAGTCTTTTTAACCTCCGCCGCAATATGAATTTGTCATCATTAGGCTTAAAACACGCCGTTAATTAAACGCAGACAATCTGGAACGCACATGACGTCATTTTTTTTTTTATGTCTATGTCGGTATGATAAAAAATAATAATTCGAAATTGGAACCGTCAAATGTCAGAAACATGCTCGTTATAATAGCAGCTGGCTGGACGAAATGATTTTTGTAAAAAGTTTTTAATGATTTTGACTAATTTATTGTGTGTTGTTTATTTGTAGTTATTTGTTTATTTATTGTTGTTATCATGTCAAATGTAGTGACTTTTATGGAACTGGAGACGGAAACGGTGGAAGAGGTTTTGACGTTAAGGTAGGTCGCATCACCTATGAGACGAACTAATGGGGATTAAGAATTCATTAATATTTATATAGGTTTATAATTTTCACTCAACTAAGGCAAGATAAATATCTTAACACATCACTTTGATTTGCAAAAGCCTTTTGTGTCTTGGTTCAGAATTCTTAAAAAAAGTTATGCTTAGACGACATCAAGTGTTTTTTTTTAAGTAGGACATATTCTTGAACGGTACACAATTATTCACTGCCACATTTATAATTAGAATTACTGAAAAGTAAACATAACACACAACATAAAAGCACTATCATAATATAAACAGTCCTTACGAATGACGTGTCCTGCTACTCAGTACTAGCCACTTGGACGGTGACAATAAAATTAGATATTATGTTCTATATTTGCATTGCGACTGGCGCTCAAATGCCAAGCGATGCCAAGTTGCCAGTTCACTCGACACTGTGATATTAAGTGCATTTTGCATACATTTTAAGAATAAAATACTAATAAATAAGTGATTTTGTTTATATGTGATGTAGTACATATCTGGTTGAGTTTTAATCATGTATCAAGGACTAAGGTTTGCAGAAATATCCAGGTAGGTGTGTAGTTTTATTTGTCGGGTTCTATTTCATCATCTCCACATTATCAGTACTTGATCAACCCTTGTGGTACATTATAAAAATTAAGTTCCATATTCAAAATTATAAAAAAGAATTAGCGCCCAAATTCTGTTTTTAAATATATTTAATCTGTTAGTTTTGTACCGTATTACTAAAGAGGTTATGATGTAGTCATACTGTGTAAATATTTTTTTCGAATTCTATTAGCGCAATTTTGAATTTCATTCAAATTGGAATACAAGGAGTTTCAGTATTTTTTAATGGGTGCAGTATAATAATTTGTATAGTGAGTTAAAATTAGCTGGTTTACTTTCATCGTTTGAAACGCTTATACTAAATAGTTAGTTTTTAAACAATCTTTTGGATATATTACTTAGTTTTATTCTTTAAGGTTATAGGCTATCTTCTTGACTTACAAAATAATGTGATATGTAATATTATATTCAAGTTATTACGAAATGGAAGCATCTGAAATAAAAGCTAATTTTATGGGTTTATAAAATCTAGTTAATAGGAATGATATAAAGATACAGATAAAAAAGAAACAACAGAATACAGGTTACAGCTAGCAACGCTCTGTAATAAAACCTCTGTAATTCATCGTATTTTAATACATTTTCAACTTGACTGTTTTTGTAATTAAGTCCAAAATTAAAAGAAGCCGGTTAATAACAAAAAATGTACTTTGATGTGACAGCGCGTCTGTATACAAGTTAAAACAAGCTTCATATTATAATGTTCTAATTCTGAATTACTTCCTGAACTCAAGTGTTTCGATAACATAAAAAAATATGTCAATCAGGTTTTCTTTAATCAAGTGACTGAGAGGCAATGAGATAGCGATTACTTGTCTTATGAATTAGTAAAAAAAAAACTCTTTTTGTCTATTGAATTTAATTATTATCGTAATTAGAATAAGGAAGAAATACCTTCAAATATTTAATAATATGACGTGTGAGTTACTTTGGAGATGTAGGTATAAATAGGCATCTTTCTTTAGTCTTTGACTGCTAACAAAAACTGTTGAAAGCTGTAACGCGATGTCGGATACATGGACATGGTGTTCAATGTCTTAAAAAATAAAAAACAGATGTTTAAAAACATCATTGAAGCATTGCTGATTTTCAAAAATGTTGAGCCAAGATGCGAAATTGTGATATCTGCCTTGATAACTAATTTAATTTATCGTTTTTTTTGTAATAGGTCGGCAAACAAGCAAGCGGACTACCTGATGGTAAGCAATCAGCGCCCCCATGCGAAACAACAGAAGAATTACGAGTGCGTCGCCGATCTTTTGGGGATTAGGGATTGAAGGAGGGGAAAGATTGGGCCTCCGGTAACCTCACTCACACGTTTGAAACACAACGCTGTGGTTGTTTCACGCCGGTCGAGCCGACCTATTCGTGCCGAAGCTTGGCTCTCCCTCATTTAATTTACTAACTTAAAGATATTTTAATATCAATTTTGTCGTCTTTACAGTAAATACCCGAAGACGGACTACACGTACTCCCCGCTGTCCAAGGACCGGGTGGAACTCGCGCCAGGTCAGGTCGCCATGCCAAACATGTCGCGTCGTTCTCTCTCGCAGTTCCGCGTCCAAGGACCCAACACCAGCGTGGATGAAATCGATCGACTTACCGCTACCACTTCTTGGACGACCAGCACCGTGCGACGTCGGTATACAGTGAGTATTTTTATACTTCTTCATCTTATTACTTTGTGGACGTAATTGTAATCTTATTCCGTACTATCTTACTAATATTATAAATGCGAAATTTACGATGTTTAGATGTTTGTTACTCAATCACGCCAAAACGTCTGGACGGATCTGGATGAAATTTGACACAGGATAGGACAGACTACTTTTTAACAACATACCACGCGGGCCGAAGCTAGTTATTATTATAATTGATTCAAGTTATTATTTTGCTTTTATGTGTGTTATTAAGGTAAAAACCTTATAAATGCTGGTAATATGGTAATTCTTTGCCACCAATTTTTTTGTGTTCTGTACCCAATGGGTAAAATTAAGGACTCTATTACTAAGACTACGCTAACCGCTATATTTATCCTTTATAACAATACATAGATACTAAAAACAAAACAAAATACGTGAATCTGATTCTCTGTTGGCCAGTTTTAATAACTAATTTTTCTCTCTTCACCAGTCAATAGACAGTTCAGACGATGAGACCAATTACCCCCACCGCAATGGCGGCGCCTACACAGCAGAGCAACGCTGGTGGATAACTCGGCTGCTTATCACCATGATCACCTCGATCACCACCACCACACGCAACACGTATAGGAAGATAGTGGGACCTTCGCATCGATACCCTTACACTGATCGGAGACCAGCGAAAGGTATACATCAGTATTATTTATTTTAATAGTCTCTTTTTTTATGTAATAGTTCGGCAAACGAGCAGACGTATTACCTGATGGTAAGCAATCAGCGCCGCCCATGGACACCCGCAACGGAGGAGTTTCGAGTGCGTTGCCGACCTTTTAGGAATAAGGGTTTTGGATATTTAGGGATCGGAGGAGGGGCAGGATTGGGCCTCCGGTAACCTCACTCACACACGGCGAAACTCAACGCTGTGGTTGTTTCACGTTGGTTTTCTGTGAGGCCGTGGTATCACTCCGGTCGAGCCGACCCATTCGTGCCAAAGCATGGCTCTCCCACACTTAGAGATGATCTTTTATTGAGATGTGCTATCCCTAGTAATAAGAGCAGGAAAAAGAATAGAGTTTTCTTTCCAAAGTAGACTAGGTGGAGACAAAAAAGTAAATATTATATTTTAATCTTCAAACACCGCTAATTATGGAGGCTAGAAGTGTATCCGATTCAGAGCCATAATTCACTACTTCTACTTTAACCATTTATTGGCATTGCCATCTTCAAGCCTTCTAAAGCGTGGGGTTGAAATAATTCTAGCTGTATTGATGAGCATTATTTTTATAAAGTATAGAAAAAATATTATTTATATTTATGTAGATACCTACCTTCATAATGAGATTACACAATGTACAACACGTTTCGAAAATTAAGTACCTACATAAAAGCAACATATTTTATGGATTTTTTTTTAATCAGAAACTAAACTTGTATCAACATATACATTTAACTATCTATAATCTATTGTTGCAGCAAGCCTGGTATCTCGGAGTGCGGCGGTGGCGGCGGCGCCGTTCGTGTTCATCTACTCCCTGATCAAAACTGCCGTCTCTACCACCGTCACGACCGTCACCGAAACTGTTCGTATACTACACTATTTTATATTAGACATGTTAAACGTATTTAAACATTAATTAAGTTGTTACAAATTACATGTTAGACTTGGTAAAACAGTTATTAGCTAGGTATGAGATTTATGATAAGCTCTGTGGGCTTGACACTGTGAAATTTAAAGAATTATTAATTAAATTATTTATTTTGTACTATCATTAAGGCATATCGTGGTTTGAAATTTGTTGAGTAGTCTCGTTAAAAAGTGACTCGACCAGATCAACTTAATTATTAATTCTACACGATATTATTAACCTTAAGCTTTCCCTAAAAATCTTACCAATTTATCACCAGTTTCTTGTATAAACTTCAACTTTACTTTTTATGATTTAAATGATTTTATTCTTATTTTCCTACACTCATAATTTCTCCCGTGTCATATGTGTATTTACAAACATACGAATTTATATACACATGACACCGCCGCGCCGCAGAAAAAAACATTGAACAAATATATAATTTAAAACACAATATTCCACAGCTATCACCCAATCACGTCGAGGTAAATAAGAAGTACATAGCTCAAAGCTACCAGGAGAAAGCTGGAGTGAAGAAACGCTGGTGGCCCTGGCTTCTGTTGCTGGTACTGCCTGCCTTTGGCTATGGATGTAAGTACTATTATTAAATACACTGAACTTTTCTTCCAAAACCTTACATTTATACAAGAAATCATTGACCTACACAGCCTTCCGTGTTTGCCGAACTTTAAAACATTATAGACTTATTATCTTCCCGCTTCAGTAAGCCTATTTTGTTTTTGAATACATGACAAATAACGAAATTTTTCTTAGATCTCTTTAAAAGAATAAGCTATTACATTGTTCTTCGTAAAATAACTATAGAACTAATAGTACTGAGAAATAATCAAAATGAGTGACCCTGTCGTCTCACTACTGAGAAATTATATTTATCAAGTGTTTTTATTGTAGTAACACGTTTAAATTATTATTGCGTAACATGTATTTAGTTCAATCGTTTCTTTGTCTCGAAGTCCGTTAGTTTTTTTACACCAAAACATGCTTATAGGATTGCAGACCTGCGATATTTTAACAATACACTGCTTGTTATACAAAGTTACTTTGTTGTGAAAAAATAAAAGGCATTTCTCTTTTTAATCAATAAGAAATATACATATTCAATAAACACTTCGTGGATCATTAGGTAAACATACTACTTCCTTCCAGCTCACTACACATACGAGAATTGGGAACGTCTAGCTATGCCAAACTTTACCGATTTCCGCTTAGACCTATCAGAGTTTTCTGCTATAAAAATCCCGGAGTTTTCACTACCGAACATTACTCTGCCGAGCCTCGACGTTTTGCCGAAGATTAAGATACCAGAAATTAATATAACGTTACCTGATATAAGGGAGAATCTTCCAGAAGTTAAGAAAACGTACATAGAGTACAGAGATATTGTACAGAATCGAATGGCTGATGTCTCAGATTATATCGTCGTGGTCGCTGACAGCTGCTTCGAGGAAATCAAGAAAACATGGCGAGGTTTATTCGGATGACGCGAGATTTTAACCATACTAAGCTACTTCCGAAACTTCATCGAACTTGTATTCTTTACAGCTCTGTTGATTGGATGTATTTGTCTCCTAAATTATATTATTCCTAAAGTCAAACGGGTCCTTGAAAGGTTAAACTTTGATTAAATTATAATTGTTCCATATCTGTATACTAGTAAAGAAATGTGTAATGTAACTAATGTTAATACTAACAACCAATGATATTATAAGTAAAAAGCTGCAGATAGGTCATAAGCGCTCAGCAAATGGTACATTAAAATGTGGCTTATTAGCCACACGTTTTCATATTTGTCTCTTTTTCACTCGCGATTATTGAATCATGCCATCCCACTTTGACGTCTAATCATACGGCTTTTGAAAATCGAATGTTGTTTATGTAACCTATCTACACCATTTTACTTATAATATCATTCTAACAACAATACCAGTATATGTCAAAAAAAAAGGGAACTGTAAACATGTCTATATGGACATCATTGACAATATCCAACATTCACTACACAGTAATCAAATGGTATAGTTTTGTAATAGGTTTTATCAAATTGCCTAATCCCCTTAAATCAGACCTTACTATTGACTGCCAAATGGAAAGAACTCAAGCTCAAATAATCAAGGTCTGCGCTTAAAATATATATAAAAAAAATACCTAAAGCACAGTAAAGAAAAGAGCCTATTTAGAGTGAATACCATCAGTTTCGTTTGCCTCCAATTCCAGAAAAAAAACCAGTTCAACAACTCTTTCGAATTCAAAATTCTATCTCTTAATTCAATTAATGAATTCTACAGAAATATAGATCAGTTTATTGGTTAGAATTAAACCATTCAATAAGATTATTAATCATATTTAAGATTATTAGGTTCCCATATTCACAATTGGCAGTCAATACAAACACAAGTCATGACAAATAATCATAATTAAGTTTTGTACTTAATTACCTAGTTATCTTCTACATATAGGGTGCTCAATTTTTGTATCTTTCATTTAGAAAAAAATAGTAGAATTTTTTTCATAAATATTTGTAGTACTTTTATCTATAAGGGATTGGGAAGGGTAAAAAAGTGCCCTCGTTAAAAAAATATGATTCGGAAGTAGGTATAATGTAGTTAATAAAAAGTTAAAATAAGTATTAGTAATTATAGATTTCAAATGTTTTTCGAGGATGTGCATACATTCAAAATTAAAATTATTTTATAATAAATTTAAATATAATTATTGTTTTTTTTGCAATTTATAATTTAATGTTATTTATTCTATCATTTTACATTTCTTTATTTGAATTTCATCACAAAATTCCGTTTTAATTAACATGTGTGCACATGCTTACATTATATTAGGTTTTTATATGTGATTTATTGATTTAATTAGAAATTCTATTTATGCTTTAAAATAACAAAATAATGTCTATGTATAAAGTGGAGTTATATAATATGATTACTTATTTTCATTCCGCAATACAGAGCGTATATTATAAATCTCTATTTATTTTTAATGATTTATTGTGAATCTGCTGATTTAATTCCTTTTTGGAAACTTAAAAGAGGTAATATATCTTGGAAATGTGTGAATTATCGCAATGACAAAACTATATGCCTCATAGTTTTCTAATGGGAATTATACAAGATCGTACAATGACGCATTAAATCCACTTTTGACCAACATTAATTTTGACTAGATATTTTCTTTCTAACCAGCTTTAGAAGATGCTTTTTAATTGGACCGTATAAACATTATACCCTGGAAAATGTGAGGTATTCTTCGACGTATTTTAATTCAACCAAATATTTTTAGGCACGTTAAATTTTCTTTGTACTAAAATTTAAATTTGGAATAAGCGACCAAAACACTGGAAGCTTCGTTGCTACAGCATATAGTAAAAACTTTTTACACCAACTTCTTAGTTTTTCTTTTTTGCTAAACGGATTTATCCCTTCATTGTACGACATTCAGCATTATTTATTTTTAATGTATACTGTACACAGTATACACGTACCGATGTACCTAAATTCATGACGTGGCCATATATTGGAGTTTTACTTAGTTTTTAAGATAATTCGATTGTTTGGTACAAATTACTGTATTAACAAAAATGTGCTAATTATACCCAAATTGATGAAATTAATAAGACTAACACCCTAGTCATAGATTCTCTTGATTGTATTGTAATTCGATTGTGTTGAGGGTTTTATACATGTTTTTAAAAATAGAAAAGTGTTGATTCTCGGTCTAAAATTTGTCCAAAGAGGCAAGCAAAATTGTGCAACTAATTTTTGTATAAGGAGCATATTCTGTAATAATTATTATAATGAGTGAAATTATAATTATTGTGTCTTAGGCCACTATACAATTAAGTTTCTATTTCAATTGTTTGTTCTATTTTTAATTTTATATTTGCAATTGTTTCTAGAGATTTCAATATTAAGCGCATTCTGCTTTATGTTATAAATGTTATTATTTAAGAAGTAATTTGTAAAACAGGGATTTATTTCGCAATACAAAGTACCTGTGCTTGATATCCCCACCATAAACAATACTCGTTCTCAAGTATTGTATTATTTAAGCACAATCTATTTATTTGTCACAAACAACCTGCTTTATTCGCTTTACATTGATGTGATTTCTTATTTATATGAATTTAGTTTATAAGCAAAATTTAATTGCATTTCGATGGTGTAACAATTTGTGTTCTACTAATTGGTTCAGTTTGATTTAATTATATGGTTCGTAAGCAATCAGACTTGTTATTTATCATTTATCCCCATTTAATTCTTCCCTGTTTTGTCTAAATATTATAAAGTCGGGGAAGGATAGAGGCCAAATCACCTATAAGAAAGTGGACGTACTCGTGGACGCTACACTTTTTGGGTGAGTTCAATACCTGTAATATTAATTAATTTTAATACTCTGTCCTTCCCTGTCGCTCTCTATTTTGTGTTTGTTTTTTAAAGCTTTATGTGGGAAGGACAGAGTGGAGTACATACGGAGCTAATGTTAGCTGTGTTTTTCAGATTACAAGTACGGTGAAAGCACGGCGCCTGCAGAGCAGTTGGTCGTGGACACGTACAAACCTCCGCAGATCCTACAAGACCCAGACTTGAGTAAACGAGTGGCCGCCTTGGAGGACTGGGCAGTGAACGTGGACACTCGCCTCAAATACTTTGACCAAAAACTATCGAGACTTGACAACCTCGAGGCACAGATAGAACACTACTCGCTGAAATATTTGCAGCAGAATTTGATTCAAGTTTTTAATGAGAATGACAACGCGGGCGTGTTGGCTGCAAAACTGAAGGAATATTTCGACAAGGACTATGTTAGTAAAGAGCAGATGCAGGCGATGAGTCAAGAGATTCATGAACGTTTGATTAGTACTTGGAAGCCGGATATGGATGAAGATAGGATCCGTGAGATAGTGCAGGAGTACCTGGCCGTGTTTGAGCGGAGGCAGATGGAGATCATTGTGGAAAGGATGAAGGAATATGTGAAGGAACTAGAAGTGCAAACTGTCCACACCGGTATAGATATTGAGAGCGTGAAACGGATTGTCGCCGGCATGTTGGACGTCTACGACGCTGACAAAACTGGCTTAGTGGACTATGCATTGGAGTCTGCAGGTATAATACTTTTGAATGCTACCGCTTTTTTATGATATGGGGTGGAAAACGAGCTGACCGGAGTTCCTGATGGTAAGCAATCAGCGCCGCCCACGGGCAACGCCAGAGATGTTACTAATACGTTTCCGGCTTTTTAAGGCTGTAAGGTTTATGAGGAATCTGGGATGGGAGAAGAATGGCGCCTCCGGTAGCAATGACAATGAAATTATCGCCGAGTCAAAACTAACTACACTTTGAAGTCGGGATTGCGGGTCAAGCGCAATTATGAACCGCAGCCTCTAGCAGGGGTAGGAACAGAGTGGTTTTTAGTCAAAAAAAGTCACTCCCTCTCGCCTGACCAAAGACGAGAGAAGTAATTTGTAGAAATTCCACTCTCAAATATAAAAAACTACTCTTTGACCTCAACAAAAACAACTTATTATTCTATTCCAGGTGGTCAAGTGGTCTCAACGAAGTGTACAGAGTTGTATCAGATCAAAACGAAGCAGTACAGCATCCTGGGTCTGCCGGTGTGGTGGGTGTACACGTCGCCGAGGTACGCGCTCACTCCTGGAGCCATGCCCGCCGAGTGCTGGGCCTTCCAAGGCTTCCCGGGGTACCTGGGTAAGTACCTTCACTTGTACTTCAGATCTTATATCTTTTTTGCACTGATTCAATGTTTCATTGCTTCATATACGGAGGTTAGGACAGACTCAGGAATTAATTCTAGACTCTATTGTTTGACAGGACATCTTATTCCGATAATATCCCAATGTTTCTTTGCTACTTCTTCCACGAAATTCTCAACAGTTGATATCCCTAGAAAACACCGATATGTTTTGTTTAATATGTTGTAAATTATGAAAAATGGCTACTACGCTAGTTATGTAGTAATCATAATAGTTGAAAATAGAAAATGATTTTTTCAGTGGTGCGCACATACGCCATTATCGAAGTGACAGGATTCTCCTTGGAGCACATGTCTCGGCTGTTAGCAGTTGAAGGCAAGATTGAGTCTGCACCGAAGAACTTCTCTGTATACGTACGTAATGTTATTTTTTCTAATCTCTTAAAGGCAACGCAAATGATTGTTTAGACACGGTGAAGGTAAACATCGTGAGGAAACCTGAACTTATAATTTCTAATTATAAGTTTGAAATCACCAATCCGCATTGAGCAAGTGTGGTGATCAATGCTCTAACCTTCTCTGTGTGAGAAGAGGCCTTTGCTCAGCAGTGGGCACTTATAGGCTCATGATGATGATGATGATGAAAAGGCAACGCTATTGTAAGTCTTGTTCTAGTGGCCATGGGCGACCAGATTGCGTAGCAGGTTTTCGTTTACCACCCTAAGCCATTAAAAAGTAAATTGTTTTTTCTTCTAAATTGTGCATTCTAAATGTATATTTTTTTTAAACAATGTCAAAATCGCACGCAGTTCGCCTAAACAATTAATTACCGTTGGTCCGTCCGAGAAATTTCCTAAAATTCCCCAACCACTGCGCAAATCGTGCAGTTATAAATATGATTCTGTTTCAATTTGATTTTGTTCACATGTTCCCACTAATACTTTTTATTTATATTGCAAAACCTCGCAACGCTAACCCCTACCCGGAATAAAAGTTTGTACCCATCTTATTTTACCCTTGGTGCTTTATTTTATTTACTTCGTTAATCACCATTTATTTCATTTGTACTGTCAGATTAAACAGGTTTATAGAAATGTAACTTACGGCATGGTGGAACTGTTTTAAGCAATATACTTGCAGGGTCTGCACGGCGAGATGGACCCCGACCCGCATTTGTTCGGCGATTATCAGTACGACGCCAATGGCACGGCCATACAGTACTTCCCAGTAAAATACCCGAAGACGACCAACATCGGCGGTGTCGAGTACCCGGTTGCTTACGACATTATCGAGTTGAGAGTCGAGAGTAACCATGGCAACCCTACCTACACCTGCGTCTACAGGTTCAGAGTGCATGGCAACCCTCTGTCTGACATCCGCAGGGCCACGGAAGACAGTATAAAGGACAGTGAGACGTAGCATACACTAAAACTATTTCTTAAGGAATTGAGATGTCACGGAATTGAACATTGTGAACTGTGAACAGTGTAAACTGGGAAACTCGTCCAATCTAATTGTGTTCAGTAATGAGGATAGCAATCATTCCTAGGCATATTGAGTGTAGTGTAAAGTGGCCTTATATAAAATTCTTAATATTTATAGTACAAAAACGATGTGACTAAAGACTATGAACTTAATGTGCTTACAACCAGTGAAGTAACGTTCTTGAAATCTCCGAAACCGCACAATGTCTGCAATACGCTTAGTTGTTCTGAGTACTTTTTAACTGTATTTATACTTAGATTTTTAATGAATTTTAAGGTTTTATTTCATACTATTAATATTAATTAGTTTATAATTATGTCTATGTATTGTTGGTTTAGAAACGTGATATGAATTTTGATGTAGCCGGAAAGAAATTTTGTTTATATCATGCAATTTACATAAACGCAAAGAGTCATTAATGTAATTCACTAATCAAGTTATAATCATGGTTGTTCTTACGTATAAATCTGGTAGCTACTAGTATTAAATACTTGTGTTATAGCTATTGTATTTCGTTTCTAAATCTACATAATTTTATTGAGTAACTAGGCTTAATGAAGGAGCTAGTCCCGTTAGATTTTAATAAATTCTATGCCAATATGTAATTAAGTGTTTATGGTTTGTCTCAAAATCGAATGTAGCCACTGTAGAGCGTAACATCCCTGCAATTTTGAGAATCTTACTAGAATATAGTTTAGTTTGTAAATATTTAAGCACTGCTTGTTCTACGGTCCTATTATTACTTACTACAACAGCCCACGATGGGTTACTCGAAAACAATTTAAAAATGCCGTCTATTAAGTCGTAGTTTTGTCTCATTAAAACTCCAAACTTTTACTGTATTTCTTTTAATTTGTGGTCATTGGTTTTCTTTTGATTTTTGATTCCCTATTATATGGGACTACAACGAGCGACAAATACGTGTAGGTACCACGGAGCTTTTAGGTACCTATGATAGTTAAACTTTGCTTACCCTTTGAGGACCAATGTGTAAATCAATGCGGTTGGTTCCGTTATGCTTAGATTTTGTAATAATAGGGCCAAAATCACCTATCTCTCCTATTTAGCTCGTTATCACGTCGAATGAAAAGTTGGAAAATAAGAGTATGTAATTGTATGTTGTTCCCATAGACGTCAAAGTTTTTAATGTTGATCTAGGTTTATGTAGTTTAAAGTTACCACTAACAAATAATATTTTTTCCAGTGAAAAATGTTGAACCGTTTTAATTAAATTGGCAAGCAAATGTTGTACCAAAAATATTTATAGTATAACTTATCAGTGATTTGTTGATGTTTACGTTTTTTCTTGCAACATTTGAAGTCGCCTATCATGGTATGAAATATATAAGAAATGGTCAGGTGTATTTAATCTTTACAAAAATAATCAAGTGAAAGCGTAAACATAAATAAATGTTAAATCCTCTCAGAGTTTAATCTTTAAAGATAAATCATGTCAATTAATCGGAGTTATATTTTTCGACGCATCGTATTTCTTTTCTTTCTTTCAAGTGAATAATATTATGCATAATTAATATGCCACCTTAATACTGTAGAACTGAGTACAAGGGTGTTTCAGTGTAATAAAGATGAACGTAGTGTCTGTACAAAGTTTATAGTGTAATATATTACGATGACAATAAACTTAGTTCTTTGCGCCGAACGCCACGCCCGATGATGTTTTATAAATTTTGACAGTTTTATCTTGTTAATTTTTACTATGTTTTTAACTAACCGATACTGCTAATTATGTGGAATATTTGTGATGTTCGAAATAAAAAGTCGTAAGATACATTGTAATTTTATTTCTATGTGAAATTTTCCTGTTGTTCTTTTTTTGACACATAAGTTAGTTACTTCTTCAAAGTAATGCTTAGAAAATATACATTATTTTTATTTATAGAAATATGTAGCCGATGACTTAATTTTTAGTTTATTTTTCAATAAATTAATAAAGTGCTTCGATGAATGCCTTGATGATAAATCATGACACGATGACGTCACTCGTAAAACTATTTATGAGTCATGTTCTACATACTTGGTATGTTATTTACTTACGTGCCTTGCACTTGGACTTATTACGTTTTTAAATTACTCAGGCATATCTAAACTGACGATTATCATTAAAACGCGGCTTAGAACAACCATTCGGTTGCCGTAATGAGTTTACTTTGAACTGTTATTTAGTCACAGGTCAGTGGCAGTGAATGTGTGTCTTATCCACCAGACCAGCGGTGTAGCTACAGCCGTGTCTGCCGTATCAATTATTCGGGACTTCCGTGCGTCAGCAGAAATTAATATAACTTACAAAATTACTTGTTAACAAATGAGTTAAGTCTATAAAGGCCATTTCTCGCGTTAAGCGTGTTTTTAAGACTTGGTGACCCGCTACATCGGTTATCCCGAGCTATGGACGTTTGCCGTAGAAAGGCGAAAAAAATATATTTAATTGTTTATTAAATTTGTATAAATAAGAGAGCAAAGGCAATAAATTGACCCTAGTGCACGTTGTTTGATCTCTGTACAATATTCTCCACGAGAAAAACTTTGAGAACGAATGAAAACAGGAGCGTTTGAATTTTTGAGTTTCGTCAAAAGGGGGTGAATATATACTAGGAAAATTCGCCAATACCTATTCACCCATTTCGTCTATCTATTCACCCCGTTGTACAGTTTTTAAGTATTAATATAAATTATCATGGATGGATATTTCTCTTATTTCGCATTTTTTTTCATTTATGGGAAATCTTTGTCCTCTTTTATGAACTCCAAACTACTTTATATTCAGGACTAATGCACGTTGCGCTTCAGGTCTTGTCGAAATGAGCGCATTTGATATGCAGGGTTATCGATTACTAACCCTGATATTGAACAAGATTTGTAATGGGGATAGAGCATCTATCCCCATTACAAATCTTGTTTCAAAGTTATTAATTGCTGTAACGAAGACATGGTCCGCTACGCATCTATGATACCTCAAGTGCAAACTCAAATTGTATTATAAATACATATGCTTATCATATCAAAAATACTTCCATTGCTACAGCAAGTTTTACACTTTTTCAAATAGTTGCCTAAATGAAGCTCAGTTATTCTACATGAAAAAAAATCATCTACAAATATACACTTGGTATGCACTACAGCAGTTAATATTCGATCTTATTTAAAGGTTGAATTAAAATGAAATCAATAAAGATCACATTTCTAACACTCACTTATATTGATTTATAGGTATAGGTATGTGATCGCGTCATGTGGACTCATGGCTCATCTCGTTGGGTTCAGATAGTTTGGCGAAAGCTACCTACATCCATAGCAATGGCGACCTTGATTTCATAGCATTTAAAATCAAGTAGGTAGGTAGCCGAATTTTGTTTTTATCTTGCGATGGAGTCTTTCTCAATTAAAATCTCCATAATTGAAACAAATTGCAAGTAGGCAAGAAAGTATGTTTGTACCTGCCATATTAGGTACCTGACGGCGCGACGCAAGAAAATTTATAGGTACCTACATTTATTTTGTTAACACCCGAAAACGTACGTTTAATTCCTCTAGGTTGCCTACCTTCCTATCAATTTGATATTGTCATAGTTGTTTCAACAAGCAGCGTGCTCCCCCGGTGTGTGAGTAAACACGACAGAGGGCTATTTCTGGACTTCGCTCCAAGTTCGTTCTATTTTCAAACATAGGTCAATGTCGGTCGTTGCGCTCAGATAACGAACTAATTCCATTATATTGGTTTGTTTTGTACTACATTTCAAAACATGACAACGATGCATGTACAATTTGTAGTTAGCTTTAGGTTAGGTACACAAGTATAAAGAAAAGACAGATAAATTTTTCAGATTTTTTTTTGTATTTTCATCATTTTTTATAATTTATAAATGACCTAGTAAGAAAGTAGTCTTATCCGTTTCAGCACATACAATCATCATTCATGAGATTACAAAAAGATCCTTTGGCGAGTGCAGTACCGAGGCCGGCGGTCGAGGCGCGCCCGCGGCGCCGCGCTCCGTCCTGCCGTCACTATTACGATTTAATTACAATAATATCTTACGTACAATTAAATTAACGGAGATTACAAGCCTGAATTGAGCAGCCGGCCGCGGGACCGGCCGGGCCGCGGGCTGCTGTAGGCAGCGTGTCGCGACTCGCTTAGAAGCACTTCCTGTGCACAATAGAGGGGCCAGACTCGTCGTACTCCTGTTTCGAGATCCACATCTGCTGGAAGGTCGAGAGGGAGGCGAGGATCGATCCACCGATCCATACGGAGTACTTCCTCTCTGGGGGCGCGATGATCTTGATCTTCATTGTGGATGGAGCCAGAGCAGTGATCTCCTTCTGCATACGGTCAGCAATACCAGGGTACATGGTGGTACCTCCGGACAGGACTGTGTTGGCGTACAAGTCCTTACGGATGTCGACGTCGCACTTCATGATGGAGTTGTAAGTGGTCTCGTGGATGCCGCAAGCTTCCATACCCAAGAATGAGGGCTGGAAGAGAGCCTCAGGGCAACGGAATCGTTCGTTACCGATGGTGATGACTTGTCCGTCGGGAAGTTCATATGACTTCTCTAGGGAGCTGCTGGAGGCAGCGGTGGCCATCTCCTGCTCGAAGTCGAGCGCCACGTAGCAGAGCTTCTCCTTGATGTCACGTACGATTTCACGCTCGGCCGTGGTGGTGAAGGAGTAGCCACGCTCGGTGAGGATCTTCATCAGGTAGTCTGTGAGGTCGCGACCGGCCAAGTCCAGACGCAGGATGGCGTGGGGGAGGGCGTAACCCTCGTAGATGGGCACCGTGTGGGAGACACCGTCACCGGAGTCCAGCACGATACCGGTGGTACGACCGGACGCGTACAGTGACAGCACGGCCTGGATGGCGACGTACATGGCGGGCGTGTTGAAGGTCTCGAACATGATCTGTGTCATCTTCTCTCTGCGAAACAAACGGAACGGTCAGCTGCCTGTCACTGAGACGGGGAGTCAATCTATTCTAGAGTTCGAGTCTGTAAGTGTATGCAAGTGCTGGCGCACTGGACGAGACACCTACCTGTTGGCCTTGGGGTTGAGGGGGGCCTCCGTGAGCAGCACGGGGTGCTCCTCGGGCGCCACACGCAGCTCGTTGTAGAAGGTGTGGTGCCAGATCTTCTCCATATCGTCCCAGTTGGTGACGATACCGTGCTCGATGGGGTACTTGAGGGTGAGGATACCTCTCTTGCTCTGGGCCTCGTCACCTACGTACGAGTCCTTCTGTCCCATGCCGACCATGACACCCTGGTGGCGTGGCCTGCCCACGATCGAGGGGAACACAGCGCGAGGCGCGTCATCGCCCGCGAATCCGGCCTTGCACATACCGGAGCCATTGTCTACTACCAACGCAGCAACTTCCTCGTCGCACATTTTGAATTAGTCTGAAATTGACAAAAGCATTTGTTAATTTTTATATAAAAAAGCATCACTTACTTTTGTCTATTACGGTAGCTCGAGATTCTGGTTATATCCATTTAAGTAGACAGTGGGTAGAAGACCCACACGCAACCAATACGGGACAATGCCAAGTGGGCGTCGAAGTCGCGAATTGAAACCAAATAAGGTCAGTATATCATGTATAGAGAGGCTGTACAAGAAAAAACGTGGCACATGACGCGGCGTGACCACATTTCACTAGGGCGGGTTCTCTGATCTTAACTATCGAGAAAGTCGTTCACAAGATGAGTTACTTTCTAATAAGAATGACGACCGTTCAGGTTTAAAAAAATTGCTAAGTGTCAGTTGGAACCCGGCCACGCCCTACCGCAACCGGCTATCCCAGACTCCCGGCCGGCGTGACGCGACCCAACCCCAGCGACGTGTCACTGACCCGCACACACTATGGGATTTCACTATTTCCTCACGCCACTATTATCACTAAACATCACAAAAAATTATAGCACATCTGTATCAACTTACTTTTAATTAAATAGTCCTAATAAATAAATAAATTAACTCGCTATTGCACAGCCTCGGTAAATGCTGCACAACGCCACTGCTCGAGCTCACTTCGTGGAATGTCTGCGGACGCGGCAGGCAGAGTATATAAATGAGGCTGGTTTACGGGGCGCCCCTACCCCGCCGCAGCGACTTCTCAGCCAATCGCACAGTACGGCACAATACGTTGAGTTTTCGTGGCCATATATGGTATTCCGCGGCAGGGAGCCTGCGCGCGCCGCCCGGACCCCTCACGCACCCCCGCCGCTGATAGCGCGCCTCTTGATAACGTCGACATCTCAAACGGGTGCTCACATTGAACACTTGGCGATCAGACGGTCGCCTCAGACAGTAACGTACTGTGTTTGCGCGTATACACGATATACATGATAATGAAAGTTCAACACTTATTGGCACACTTCCAATAAGACAGCTGTTAGAATTGCATTGAATACCGTACTGCAGACGAGAAGCGGGAACGCAGCAAGTGGCGCTTATCTGACATAGTCAGTGGTGCATGTTCCCACATCAAACTGACACTTATTATTTTTACTGATGTTTAGTGATAATAGGTGTCACAAGAACTAAGAGATGTACTCCTAGTACCTACATTTATTAACTGGGGGACTTATAAACCCACTTCAGTCAAACATTTCTCATTCTAATGAGAACAATTTCGGTTTTTTGATATCTAATGGTTCACCATAACATAAACATTAGTCACGAAATAAATACTTAAAAAAATATAGTTTACTTACCAGTAATAATCACTTAGAAGAGACAATAACCGCAGCGTTCGCGAACCGTGAGAAATGAATGCCGGCCGGTTTCTTTCTGTTGCTCGCTCGCTCGTTGAGGTCGGTCGATCTGCTTCACTAGAATACGCCGTACGCCGGCGCCCCGCGATTCAATCGACTCGCCCAACGGACCTCAGTTGGTGCCAAATAATACAAATTTTCCTACTAATTAAGGCGCGATAACTATTAAAACGACCTACAAAATGCGCACATTGACAGGCCTAATCGACATATGTCAAGCAATTGTTACTATTCGAAAAAGGAATGTAATTATTTTTTTCCACAATAATGGACTCGCCCAAGTTCCCCGCTTGCCGCAACCGATGGCCTTACCATATATGGGAATGGGTAAAATCGTGAGCTCTGATTGGTGAACAGCGGCAACGGTCGTTGTGTTGTACATGTCTCACACCAACACAAACATAACTTTTGTACTTGTGTTTGTGTCTAGTAGCGAAGCGATTCCATTCAATATCGTCTGTCTGCAAGGCGGCAAACGGGCAAATAACTTAGCTAAGTTAAGAAGGTTACATGTGCGATTCAATTGCAGAATATTATAGTAGTATTTAAATTGTTCGTTTACAAATACTGCCGCAAACCTCATAGATTTTATTGGCGTTAATGTACCTTCATGGTTTAGTTATAATATTGAATGTTATTGAAGGTCTCATAAGAAAATGTAAATAAAGAAATATTACTTATGTACCTAGGTATTATTTATGTAAAAGTCTAATATGATTTTGCCTGGAATGATTGTCCAACATCCAAGCGATTTCTTACTAGCGAAGTTAAAACAAGTTGATTCTTAAAATTGACTGAATACCTGGTCTATACCTGTATAGGTAGATTAGGTACCCCTAGTTGATTGATTAAACTGATGGCATGGCACCTAATAGGTTGTTACCTGCCTAGGTTCATCTCTAGATATTACCTAACACCCTTCTCTCTAATTAATGGTCTGCTGGGAGTGCTGGAAAAAAATAGATTTCAATAAACGAAGAAGCGCACAAATTCAAAACATCGTAAAAAAATGATATAATTTTCAATAGACACATAAGAGAAAATGCTAAAACGCAAACAGCAAAGAAGTTGACTGTCCTTTTACGATAATCGCGGAATCTCTTCTGAACTTGGAGAAAATCCGAGTGTTCAATCGTTAGGTATCAGAAGTTCAATGACCGTACCTTATTTATTGATTATGTAATAACATAAAAGTATAGCTGCACTTACCTACTTATTTTAAGAAGGTTTGCCCATATCATATTGTGTTAAAAAAAGTGACAGCGTCTTAGTGACCTTGATACCTACTGAAGCGTGACATTAGAGGTCGAAGGTTCATTCCCATTATTGGATACTCCGAAAAGCAGAACAGAAACATGGTGGTTTCAACAAGAGGTAAGATGTTTGTTAAATGCCATTTTCCTAAGGACCTGAGAGAAGAATAGTTAAGTAGTTTATTATTTTTGTATCTTTTTTTCTACAGATTTTGTTTAATGAGCTCATAAATTTAGTGTCAAATAATTTGAACTCATAATACTTCTTATTATCTATGCTTCCGGGCTCCCTAGCCCGTAATAGTAAGTTGTCGCCTTAGCCGCAACTGCAAGACCAGAGATTCACGAGTACGTTGAATTCGTTTTTTGTGATGCTAATGACAATGTTTTGTGTATCGCTAATTCGCTAGGTACGGAAAAACATTGTAAAAATGCTTATTACTTAACTAAGGACAGATTCTTTTAAATAATATTTAGCCAAGTTTTATGCTACTTTTAAAGATTGCTGAAGAGGTCTTAAGTACTGAGATTTCAGATGATAAAGCACTTCAGGAAGAAGTAGAAAACTTAAGACATCTAGATTTCACGCTACTGTCTAGGAAGAACAACACCTTGAATATGCTGACGTTGGTAGGTCATACTTTCTGAGTTTTTCGTGAAGAATAGTTAAAAAGGATCCTTATAAAAAAATAGTTAAACAAATAATGTAATTAAAGTATTGGGGATCATGAAGAATACAATGTCATTATCATCGTCAGCCCTTGTCCATTTTGTGCCGTAAAACTCGGTTCTGTAGCTATTTGTAAGCAGTAGGTATAAGGTATCTAAGACAAAGTTGAGAGTGGAGAACCTTATACTTGGTATTAGGCCAGAAAGTATAGAGTGTCTACTCGATTTAGGAGCGTTGTTTTATCAATAAAAATGTTAATGTGTCGAGGGTCGGGAGGAACGCACGGAGACTCGAATATCACGACAATGACTCATTCACTGGAGTCATTCTACAGTCTATAGCTAGCTGTGTAGCTGCATATTATCTGTGCACTGACGCACCACAGACAAGGGTTGTCGGTTAACTATTTATTGTGTCGTTACTTGGCAGAACACAAAGGCCCATTTAGACGCATTTCCGACGGATTATTACTTTAGTGAAGTTGTGAAAGGATTGAATAATTTGCATTGCAAATTCGCCTAACTACACTTCGTGTTTTACCTTTTTGTGAGCTCAATTCTCATTCTAATCTAGATGTCTGCTTGGCGGTGCAATAATTAATTATGTGTAAAAAGAAACATCAGTTGCAGTTTATTGGCAATACTGATCTAGAAGCAAAAAACGTGAGAACAATGCTGAGAAAACTTTCTGATTATTTTTAAATTGTAAAGATTCGATGAAAGTTTTATAGTTAGTAAGCAAGTAACAAAGTAATGGTAATGTTGGAGATCACGACGTCTTAACCTCTGGCATTACACGCCACTTGTTTAGACAGGGTTTATTAAACTGCGCTTAATCTGTTCCGGTGCTTGGTGGCCTGTCCATGCCGTGACTCACTGTCGCACATGCGTACTACGACGATGAGTCAATACCGCACAGTTGAATCGGCGTCAGCGGAGTCCACTAATTCAGTTCCTTTTAAGTTATGGCCTGTGAGTAATAAGCAGCACATTTCTAAAGTACATTTAGCAACCTCAGAGACTGCTGTAGTTGTAGCCTACCGCATAATTGTGACATCGCTCTTGTAAAAGTTTACAAACATCGACTAGCTAATGTTTCCAAAACACACTGCTTCGTGGTACACTACTTCATTTGTGTTAGAGATATAATGTAGTCATAGAAAAATGGAAGACAATATGAGTATATTGTCGATGTCATGATTATTATTTGTACAAATAGAACAATGCGTAGTTTTCAATCATGTTGCTATTATTCGCTACTGGTCTACTGGAGCAATGTTATGTTCGTAATTCCTAACAAATCGTTAATTAGAAGACGTCTATACAAAAAAAAATATATATATACCTACATAGTTAAAATACTTGTCTTATAGGGCTTTAGGCTCTATACTTAGGTAGGTTGCAAGTACACCTATAACGATCTATTTTAAAGGTTCCAAAAAGAGTTCAAAGCAGTTGTATTTCCTCGATGTCTGCCTAATTTTTAATTATGCGTACAACATGCCAAATAGTAAGATGTGGTGGAAATTCAAATAGGTATCTACTTAGTATTCTAGGTAGATATTCTATGTAGGTGTAAAAAATCTCATATTCATACGAAATACATGCTCCGATTATTTTAGCGGGTTATCGCACTTTCAAACGTCTGTAGTCAGTCTTCGTCTCAACTTTAGCATTTAATTTAATGAAATTTATTTAGATTTTGTATTACCATTTTTATTACAGTAAGTATATCCTAGTCCATTAATTAGATATATAAGTAAATGTTTTTTTTTATTCATTTTTAATATTTTTGAAGTTTTTTTTATTATTCTATTTTAGTTGTGTCGTAGTAGTCTATATTTTACCATAGACTCCCAATTCCTAATCGAATTCTGGTGTGTGTGTGTGTGTGGTGGCAACGTTAAAAAAATCGAATAGTATTTGTTTTATCTCGATAGCATATTTACCTATTTTGTGGCATGTGACCAACTTCAATTGATTCGTGACTCGGGACTCGGGAGTGATTTTTTTTCTCCAAATTGATTAATTTTATGAACAGTACATATAAAAAGGAAAACATAATACAAGTTCTAAGTATTGTATGAAAGAATGGATGACACATTAAAAAACACTGTTTATTTATCATTAAACTACCTAACACGTCGATGACTCACGCACGACGGATATCAGATGACTGTTTTTTTTTTAATCACAATAATTATTAACATGTTTTTAATCGTTTAGTTAATTGCCGTTCGTTTAATAATAACATATGCTTATCAGAATATTCAACCGTTTGCCGGTTTATTTTGAATTGTCAGTACCTACATTTTTTGAATGTAGTGTTCATATTTTTTTTAAGTACAAAATACGTTACAACTGATAACATTTTTTTAGGTAGGAATTAGCATTGTTTTTTTTTATTTTTAATGTGAATAGTGGTATCGATTGTCACTTGTTATTAGTTTAAAGCATTAAGACAAACTTTTTTTTTAATCAGTCCAGGAATTCCTATATTGTATAATCTGGCAGTCAAAGAGTTAGTCAGGTTGGAGGTCATAGGAATTAGGTTACAGTGAATCATATTTTTACAAATATGATTCACTGTAACCTATACCAATGTATATATATAAATTGTTGCATGATTCTTGCGATTCATTGCGTTTTGAAATCACATGAATTCGTTAATAAAGTTTATGACTCTATTGATTTTTTCTACTAACTGTGTCATCATGAGCCTGATTTCACCCGCTGCCGGCTGCCGGACATAGCCCTCCCCAATTGCAGGCCACTGAGCTCGATGTTCAGCTCTTCTCAGCCATCCACTGCCAGTCAGTCAGTGCCCTGTGGATATCGTCAGCCTACCTAGCTGGAGGGCGTCCTACACTACGTTTGCCTAGAC